GATTGGTACTTGTCATAAATTCATCGCTACATATCGGAGCCCGATACACTTGACAGACAGTATTAATAAGATAATCAGATATGTTTTGTTATCTCTTGTTGATGCCTGTGGAAGGCGTTACACAAACGAGATCCCATGAACGCGTCAATATATACAGTAATTATATTTTATAGATGGGTGCGCAATTGCTGTTAAAGTAAAAAAGTAAGAACTAAATGTGGCTGAAATGGCGCTGAAACAGCCACAATAAAACAAGGAGACAAGGTAAATGTTATTAGGTGTCTCAGGTATATTGCTATTTTTCTGCCCTAAATAACAATCGCAACTTAAAAATCCCTAACAAACCCTTGTAATATTTATTTCTGTTACGAAACGATTCTCACTCGTGACATTAGGATACATAAAAAAATAGCAAAAAAAAATAACTGAAAGGTAAGAGGGTCCCCAGAAGGTTTTTTAGGGATCCCGGATTTCCCTTATTTGAAGCTCGGAATTCGGGATTTCAAAGAAAAATCGAGGCGAGAACCAAGATTGAAAGCACGGGCCGGAGATGGGAAGCCAAAAATAACCATTGGCTGCTCACCAAAATTTTAGTAACAGTGAGGTCGAGTTATTGGAAGAGGGGACATATTGTGCGTGAATTCTATGATAACCCTCAACCGTCAGGACCTCTTTTCACTTCTCCAGTTTTCTGTATATCTGCAGGTAGCTTTCTCCAGGAGATTATGCGAATCAATTGAGCAACGAAAAGAGTTTTAATCGACCATTCTCGTTTTATTATTATGATTTTAAACATCTGAAACATTAAGAAGAGAAAATTGTGTCTAATAGTGTTCTTGCCAAGGAACTTCACAAATTATTTAAAGAGGTCTAAATTCTATGCACTACGGTAGGGTCTGTCGGATTATGCCAGGATTATTTTTGAGCAAAATACTATATCTAAAGCATCGGGCATAACGCTGGTATAATGCTGCGGAAAACTGTGAAAAGTGTATGCAAATTTTGCGAGCAACTCCAGCTAGATCGAATGTACAAAGTTTATAAAAGAAGGAATATTTGAGGAATTTTATACCTTAGCATCGTATCCAGTGCACCTTGGTATAATCGAAGACCTGGTTACCTCTTTATGCCAGGCTTCTAAGTTTGTTTATAGTTCGTGGATGACTAGGAATGTTTATTAATAGATACGGACCTACTGGAGGTGTGGTGGAAGTGCCATTTTAGTCCGGCATAATTTGAGCATTATACCTCCAGCGGTGCATGATTTTGAGGATAATGGTTTCACGGGTGACGCGCGAAAGCATAATACTCTATTCTACGAGCATAATCCGACAGACCCTACACAACGGACAGTTGTGTCAGCTGTACCTGTTTCCAGACCATACTTCTTTCGAATTCGTTTATTTACATTTTCCAGTGAGTGTTGAAACGTGGTTTAAACTTTAATGTTTTAAGTGAAATATCATCAGTTTGTTTCAAACAATAACAATAAGAAACATTCAGATATCAACCTTAAGTTAACGCTGAACGAAATCTAGATAAGTATCTTTCAACTTCTTGATAATACGCATGCGTAAAATAATTGTATTCTTGTTTATTACCACAAATGCCAGGAAACACAATCGGGTCAATATAAATACTCGACAATATTTGTATTGATTGTCGATGAGGTCCGATGAAGCAGGCTTCCCTTTGATTTAAGCCTCCTTCAAAACTAGACTTCATCAACCTTTTTCTCGATCGTGTAGCAATCTTTATTGTATGCGGCGGCTTTGCCTAGGAAATCTAATTCTTAACCATTAATCTGCGTGTTATGCAAGAAAGCTAAGTGGCGGCGGCGCCCTCTTGACCGCGCGTACAACAAAACGTTTAAACCGTCTTTCATTGGCCTTTTTTTAGTTACCTCTTAAAGGCATAGCAAGCTCCAACATTTTCATAAGATATTTATTTTCAGCTGCCGGCTTCATGCAATCTACGGTGCACGCAGAGTTAACTGGTGTAATTAAAAATCTATCCCATAAACAACAAAACACTCCATTGTCGAATTGGGACCTTTGACTCCTGATTTGGCGTTTTTAATGTTAATTTTATTTATCAATAACTTCGTTTTAAAATAAGGTATAACCATTTCTCCTTTCTTTAAATAATGTTTCCTAAAATATATTTTGAAATGTAGAATTAATATTATTGATCTCAAAATTTCTCCAATTTCGTACCCAGGCTTCACTGCTAGCATTTCGGCACAGATACGTCATAATTATTTGGTTGTCTTTGTGAAACAAAACAAATAATGTCAAAACGAAAACCTTATTTTCTTCATTCAACAACTATCTTTAATCGCAAAACAAACAAACCAAGTATTTTTCAAAAAAGGTGAATATCGTCCCCATCTGGTAGACAAATACACCGTCACGCTTGACATATTGGGGAAATTTCCCTGCAGTTCTGCTTTTGTTCTCGTCCCCAGAGTCCGTCGTTTCTTTGTCACGTGGTCTTCAAGTCGGGTCGATTGTGAAGCTGCTGGTGACCCTCGTGTTTCCTTACACGACGTAGTTTTCCTCATCGATCGCCATAGTTGCGTAGTGCGTTCAACGGGGATAGTTTCTCGAGGAAAGTTTCAGAACAAAATGTTAACAACCCGCAAAAATCACAACCTTTAGCACGGCTACAAGAAGCAAACGCTTTCCGATGAATTTTTAGGACGGATCTTTCCAAGGTGTCGTAAATTTTTATTGCTGATACGATACGCGATGCATGACTTTCACTTTCCACACCTTGATCTACGTAGTATAAAACGCCAGGCCAAGCTTCAGGCTGAAGCTTACTTTTTTGATGTCCATGTTCGTTGCACGACTTCTGAAACTTTCTACAGCGTGAAGATTTCCGTTGCACGGGCCACGCAACTACGTCGATTGATCATGGGAAACGCTGGCTAGCCGCAGTGCCTTCTTCTTGCTTTCGCTCTAAACTCCTTTCGAAACTTTTAAGCTTAAAAGCTTACAGCAGTTGACCGTACGAATTCTGCCGAAGTTGATAGTAGTGTTAACTTTAGATTCGAGGGAGACCTCCAGCAAGTGCTTGAAAGAAGGCTTGTCTTTGTTTCCTGTTGTACAGTTCAAAGCGAAGGAAAGATGTGTTATTGAGAAGATTTGTGGAAAGAAGAGATGTTTTTGGGCAATTGATAGAAGAGTCTAACCTTCCAAATAATGTTGCCTATAAGCTTGGGGGTTTAAAAATCGTTAGATGCTAAAGGTTATGAATTCCCTAGTAATGCATTGGTCATAGTGATTTCACATCTCATGTCAATTGTTGAGGACCAGGTGAAGTACTCGAGGCCACTAGGAATTCAGGCCGCTTACTTAGGGGAAAGCAAAACGAAAGATCGAGAAATACTGAATGGATAGGGAGCGTTTTCTTAGCCTGAAATTCATCCGATTGCTTCGAGTCGTTTTCTCGGATGAAATTCAAGCCAGCGTTTTCTTTGTGGTACGGAAAAAATTCAGGGCAATATTCTCTAAGGAGTTTTACCAGAAGAATCCCGTTGCAGGTACATACAGCTCATTGGTAAGTATGCTGATTTGTTTACTAGGAAGGGTGCTACACTGAATTCATTGTGGGGAGTTCTGAAGGGGTAAAAGGGGATGTTGTTGCTCCGGGAAAATGGGATTTAAGTCACTGGCAGGGGGATTCTATCACTGAGAATAAGAAAAAATGTAAAAAATGGAAATTGAGGGTTGAACAGTTTCAATGGGATTGATATATCCCCCTTTCAGGACCCTCATTATACTTAACAGTAGATCTAGCTTTTATTCAAGGATGCTCAGTAAACTTATGTCTAGAAGCTGACAGATACTTCACGAGAATTATCATGTTTTTTTGTGACCATTTATTGGCAATTGAAAGCTGATGAAGGAAGCCTTGTAATAGTGCAAATTATTGAACATTTACATATTATAAATGGAAAATTTTATTTTTAAGCTGTTGAGATTTTTTTGTTTTTACTGTTTCATTATTGGAGTTCACATGTCTACTTATAATACTGCTTAAGTTTATGTAAATACTAAGGAGCTTTAATATTTGATTTTATTTTACTTTGTTAAGAAACGTTTATGCTGGGGTATTTGTTGGTGATTCTTTCTGTCCCAAAGGGTTTGTTTTACCAGGTGGCCAACAAGTATACTGAGTATATTATTTGAAAACTGTCTAGAAAAATGGGGTGCGTATTATATTTGGGTGCACATTATACACAAGTAAATATGGTATACGTACACATAACATACAAAAACTGTTTCCCCACACTCTCTGGAAAAAAGGGAACTGTGCTGAAATTGTCACTTACTGTTTTCGATAATTCTAAAAGTCTTTCTTCTTTTAGATGTTTTTAAGTGTACAACTTGCAGAAGAGAAAAAAAATCCTTCCTTTTTTGATGACACTTCGATGAAAACAGGAGAATCATTCCAAGCCACTTATGTTGCGACATCAGTGTCAAAGACTGTTAGTCTACTTAAAGAAAATCAAGATGATCTGAGACAGGAATTTCAAGAATCAAATCTTCACTGCTTGTATTCTAGAATTTGTATTCTCTGATTGTCTTCTACAGGAAACAATATTTGATAATTGTAATAAAAAATTTTCTGTGGAAAGTATTTTAGAGACACTGTGTGGAATGGTGACCATGCAATGAAAATTTTAACCTTTCTGAAGAGGGTGTTTAAAGATTTAAAAATATTTATCAATGAAGCATATTATTGTCAGATGAGGAGAATTATGATAGGGAAGTTATGAAATATCAAACAAATGCACCAAAGGAAAATTGTTAATATTGCAGCATTATTCTTTCAAAATGTTAGTCCAATCTTGTACCATCAATTGTAAGGGAGTTAAAACAATGGCACTGTGGATGTGTTTGAGGGGGTCAGAAAGGGGAAACATCAAGCCAATCATAGATAAATAGTTGGCAAAAAATCACATATGTGAAATTTCTTTTATACATGTATTTGTTAAAAGATGTCTTATAATAAAAATTCATTTCTACTATATTAGCTATAATTCTAATCACAGTGAAAAAAACCTCCGTTGTAGTCCGTCGACACAAAAGAGACAAGCCATCGTCTTCATAAAAACTCCAATCTGTGGAACTGCGGTTTTGGTGCCCAAAAACGCCATTTACATGTGGACGCTAAGCTAAATACAGACAAAAAAACCTTTGTTTTCACTCGATACGTGTGGACAGGGTCTAATGGGGAGTTTAAGATGTCACAACGACAACGGCAACGGGAACTCTACAGGTGCAGTATACTTTTTAGTACATTTCTTTGACGTCACTGCACAACCACTGCATGAAATTGCCTAAATTCACATTTTATGGAGAACATAAATTACGACGAATTTTTCTTCCTCTTTCTGAACATAGCTGATTAAGTTCTCACAAATTCAACTCTAGGAGAGTTCTCTTTTGTTCTCTCATTCATCCTGTACTAAACTGACAAAGCGAGCGAGTGGGTATAACGGCGCTGATGCTTCAAAAGACATAAAGCCACTCACATTGCCCTATGAAAGAATTCCCTTTTCGAGAATCTTTTCCAGTTTCTTGATATAAAAACTACCTTTTTCCCAACAATATCACCCACTTACAAAATATTCTATGTTGAAAAATACATCCTGACTGAATTTACTATAAAAAAAAGCTTATCTCCATTAGTGGAACTTATTTCTAAATTATATAAATTATAACATTTATTTATTTTATCTATTTCTATCAGTTCTTGAACACTGCATCGCCACCGAGTCTACGCAGGGTTGTTTAAAACAAATTCTTCAACCTGGCTGGAGAGGTGGAAACTGATCATGTTATATATTCTAGACCCTGAGGTAAAAAGTTTTTGAACAAATACCAAAAAAATAGACTGTAAGACACTCAATTCACTACCACTACTTATTGGAAAGCAAATTTAAATAATCAAAGTTGTTCTTCAATTGCATGAGATTGCATGGCAATCAAATGTAGAGGTTATAAGTAAAAATGTGTGTTGAAACTCAACTAACCAAATTAGTTTGTTGAAGGTGTGTACAAATTAGAATTTTCTTTTTAAATTAGTTGTGTTCTTCCCTTAAGAAGACAACACGAAAAGAGTGTCAACCATCATTGTCACATAATCAAGAAAAAGATTCACTCTACAGTCCCTATTTTCTGAACAAAAAGATTCAAGTTGTTATTATAGCATACAGTAATTTTTTATAACATAATGCATTTTTAGACAACAGCTTTTTATTGTAAATTTAGCATGTTCCAGGCATTCAGATAGTAGAGCACAGCGTTAAGATGGGGGAGAGGGCGAGTTAAATCATACGTGGGAAAAACGAGGGGAAAAACGGGCTGAGACCTCTCGTCAATTTTTCGCCTTTGCTCTACTATCTGAATGCCTGGAACAGGCTATTGTAAATACAATTATGCAATTTGACAACTAAGATATTGGCTTATTTTCAATAATAAATTAATTTTTCTAACGACCTATAATTAACTTCTGGTCTCATCGGGGCCCCTCCCCGGTAATTTAAATATATCTGCCGATTCTAAATTATCATGAATAATTATCCTCTATGCTGTCTATTGAACTGTTCATTTGTGACTGTTGGATTTCCTTCTGCACTGTAAGAGACTTTCTTGTCTGTGACAGTTCCACATATTTGTATTTCCTGGCTATGAACACAAACACCAAGAAATTTAAGAACATGACAGCAGCAAGAAAGAAGAAATAATTTTCTAGTTTGCCATCATTGAGATCCTGAGGATACCAGGTATCTCCTGAAGCTTTCTTTGCTATAGCAGCCAGGGCTCCTGCCACATAAAAACCAATGCCAATGGTTGCCAGGTTCAGGCCCATGACCACACCCCGAAGATAAAGGGGGGATTGGGAGTAAGCAAAGGCCAATCCTGGTAATAGAAAAAAAAAAGTTAGGCAAAGTCTGACAAAAATCAAGTCCTCCTAACATGTAAGCCCAGTCACTGAGAATAACATTTCAGAGAGGGTCAGTAGAGAGGACAGATCAATACCATACCTGCCATACATGTGCTATTGAAAGGTTACCATTTCAAAGGAGATTTACACTGAAGTACTAATTTCAAAAAATCAAAATCCAATACTTTAAGGCTTCTGTTTTATTATTTGTGGGCAACTAAACCATAAGCTTCAACAAAAATTTGTAGTATGTCTTGTAAAATTCACCGTATAACTCTTCAGCCAAAAAATACTTGCAAAATCATAAAATTATAGTTTGAACAAAATAAGCAGCATCCAAAATCACTGACAAATAATAGAAATCTTCACGAACATGCATCTATGGCCTGTTTGGATATTAAAAATAGATGCCTGCTTGGACAGAATGTCCTTTCATGAAAAGAAAATCATTGAATTTGAAGCCTAATTTTTTTAGTCCTTAATAATCACTAACCTGGAATTGCAGTCAAAACCTCTCCTGTTCCCATAAGTATATACTGTGGAACTTGATAAAAGATATTCATTTGTGAAGCATTAACTGGAGTGTCAAATGGATCCTGCTTAAAATATCCATGAGTCTCAATGTACTTTTTTCTTTCAATTTCCATGATTCCTGCCATAAACACAGACCCCATAGCAAACAGCATCCCAATCCCCATTTTCCTCAAGGGTGTAAAGTCAACACCAAAATGCCGCAGTGCTGGATAAATGATGCGGTCGACAACTGGTATGAGGATAAGTAGCATTGTGATTTCAAACAGGTATAATGATGCTGCTGGCATGGTGAAATGTTTTGATAGCTTCAGCTTCATGAATGAGCCTTGGAGAAGGTAGCTGGTTTGTCCCTGAATAACAAAATACAAAAACATTCATAACTGAAAACACTTTGGTTATATCAACAGATTTGATAAAGGCTCTACTAATTAGTCAATGACAAGGCTAGGGTTGAACTGAAGGCTCAGAGTTTTCCATCTTATACGTTCTAAGCTCTATTTAAACTGGGTGGTTAATATTTTTCTTTCTCTCAAGTCTGGTTATTACAATTACCAATGGACTTACAGAATCTCTAATTTGTATTTTTTTTACATGTACCTCTTGCAATCTATAGCCTACTAAATTAAAATAAAATACTAATAAAGTGCTCCATATCAGATAAAGCAATATTAGCCTGCAGTGAGTGGTATGAGACAAATATAATTTTACTACAAATTTAATGAATTTAATATCCATAAAAGATTCAATAGTAATATAAAGTACTTCAAAATGTTATTAACAGTGACCAACTTACCTGTCCATAGATTGTCCAATATAAAATAAATGTAAGGAATATTGGGACAATTCTCAGTAGGGACTTAATGTCTTCCACTCGCTGCTCTGACCACAATCCTCCAGTACTTTCTTTAGCTTTATCAAGCCAATGAACGTTTGATGACTCACCATTTCTACACTGAATCCTCTTTAAACCTTGCCAAATTATTTTGTATGTATCAGTCATGTAGCTGCCCTTATGAGGGTGGATAATATAGTATTTCCGTCCACTAATAAATAACATGATGGCTAAGAATATTGATGAGGCAGTAATCACATAACCATAAAAGAAAGACACTTGCTGTTGAATTGATACAACTGCAGTGTATGCCAGGAATGAGCCCAACTGGATAAACCAGTAAAACCAGTCAAAAAAACGCTGAACAATAACTGTGCCTTCGCCTTCTAGTTGATCTGCTCCTAGAGGTGAGACATTGGCTTTGATTCCTCCGGTTCCAATTGAAATGAGAAGCAGTGAAATTAACAGGAATGCTTCTTTACTGCCAGTGTTTAAACCATAATCAGTGCCATAGTCAAATGTTACAGCTGCCAGAACTATAGTGCCTACAAGATATAACAGGGAGCTTCCATATATGGTGTTGTAATGCCCCAAGAAGGTATCTGCTACCCATCCACCAATCACAGGTGAGAAAAATGATGTCCCTTGAATATGAGAAAAATTTGCAAACTGGTTAATAAAAAATAAACTAGTGCAGAGTGCCACAACTTAATTTAGCTAAATTACATTATAACACTTATTATTACAATGAATTGATAAAACAAGGGATTTTATCAACTAACTAATGGTGTAATTAATAAACTAATATCATAGGTGACGAATTACTCCTTAATTTTGGCGTGAAATTTCAGCGTATGTCTCTGTTTCAAGATGGCGTGGAAGTTTTAAAATGTCGTGAATGAAGATGTCGGGGCATAAAAAGACGTTTTAGAAAACCTGAACACACGAAAGAGCACATCAAGAAGGATTCTTAGAGGTACGTTGTGGAAAAATTCTGAAAACTTAAGCCAAATTTTAGCTCTAAACGTTTGAGAGAGTGGAGTTCACGATCGATCGATACGATCCAGGATAAACAAGTCAACAATCCTCGATTGCTAACGTAATTCGTCACCTATGATATTAATAGGTAATCAAATGGTATACTCGTGAAATTAGGGAATAATTTCACTTGCATTTTGTCCAAATCCTAATAATTTTATTATAAGGATTTGGACAAAATGCGCGTGAAATTATTCCCTAATTTCACTCGTCACCATTTGATTACACATACAAATGAATGATAATAAATCAATTATTACTCCTACTGATGAAAGATTTTCTCAGGCTAGTTAAACAATAATGACGCTTGGGCTAGTAAATGCTACATGTAACTACAGCTTGTCCAAAGGGCAGGCTGTAAACCTGACTTTCTTTGCACCCTGCTAGGAAAGGTCCTAAGCCATTCTAGAGGTTTTTCTCCACAGAGTATTCCAGTTTTCTCTTGATCTGGTGAAGTGTCTCCAATACTTTAATAGCAGGGGACAAGTTTATCCAATTAGATTTGGAACATTCTGGTACCATGGGATGAACTACCACACCGTGCACCAAAACTACCACATGGTATACCAAGGGGACTGGGTACCACAAAGTGTTTTGTTACCTTCTTTGAATACCTTGAGTGACAATGATGAGAATAATAACAAAAATACAGTGTAATTCAAAAACTGCACTGATTCTGTTTATAATATTATTAATTTTTATGACCCTCGTTTTCTTGATATTGTAGCTCAGAAGCTCATAAATATTATCCATACTTCCCCTACAAAAGGCATTTTTCCTTAGACCCCCTGTACATTGTGTATAGTAGTAGGTGCACCATGTGGCAGGTGTCACTGTATACGAATGGTAAATGTAGGTGCACTGTGTGGTAGGTGCACTGTTTGGTAGGTGAAGGGCCTAGCCCGGGTCCATTAATTATTGTATTGTGCAGTGCTTTACAGTGTGGTTGTTCACTGAGTGGTACATGTGGGTGCACAGTATGGTGGTTACTACATGGTACTTAGCGTTCCAACCCCTTCTCAGTTTATCAGGTCTTGGATTAGGAAATGTGTCTGAGTTGAAAGTTGTGGAGGTTTGCTCTTTGGCATAGAAAAGAAAACCAGTTACCTTGGAACGCAAGGCTGATGCTGCTTGGTAATGGAGCCTCAAGTTTTAAGTAGTCCCGACAATATAATACAAGGTTAGCCACGATACCATAAAATGTCAATCGCTCACACAGTTCTGTAAACAAGATACAAAGTACTAATAAAATTCTGGCTCGTCGGCTTAAGGTGGCTACATGTGGCATCGTTAACGTAGGGACTTTGTTGGTTCCACTTGACACATCTCCAAGAATGGGTGTCAGTTCTGGGTCTTTTGTATCCCGCATCACTCTCCTAATGTTCTGTTGAGAGGAAAGCAAAGTATTACTGCAGTTTTTTCACGGGCGCACAGTGTATCCAGGGAAGGGTTTGAGGAGATTGCAACTCCCCTTTTTTCTTTGTGTCTCAGTCAACTGAGTCCTGAACTTGCTACTGCATCAAGATACAATGTATTTGAAAAGAGCTCATTTGCCAACCAACAAGTTCATGAGTGTACCTCTACAGTATCAGCATAAGCTTTCTCTCTTAGCAAGATTACTATCTTGTTACCACAAGTATACACAAGTACAATATGTATTTATTAATGCAGTTTAAAGATCTATCAGGGATATCTCATCAAAAGACCATCAGAGATGTAGGAGTTGGAACCTCCCTTTTCTTTTCAAAAAGTTTGGGTATACCACTCTTTCCTTACTTCAACAACAGATCCAGCAAGAGACCCTTGATACCCACATGCACCACCTCATTAATGCAAACATCAGACCAGTGATAACCTCCAATCAGGCTGTCCTTCTTCCCTTCCACCAAAGGATTACATGGCAAAATACACCTGGTCTTGGGAGAATGTAACTATGGGTTTTTCATAGCCAGTGTGCAGACATCTCCAATTTCCTTTGCTGGGTCGAGGCCCTGTTAGGGTAAAATTCTGACAAGCATGGCCTTAAAACATTGGACTGGACAAAAAGGCAACAAATGACATAAAGATGGGTTTAAGACCGACAGGGACATGGCATACTCCTCAAAACACAACAAGGAACGTATTTGAAATTCAGACTGGGGACAAACGTACCAATGCTAAGAGGGCCTCTTTGCTGCATACAATCAAGAGAGGAAATAGAAGACGTCTGCATGCAGGCTAGGGTTTTCAGGGCCGTCAGGAAAGCACGAAGGGAAATAACGAGTAAGTATGAAGTCATGAAATATTTATTTGTCGAGGAAATGAAACTCATTTTCACATGAAACGATTTTTACTTAGCCTAACTGTGAAACTGAGGATTTTAGATACTAGGAAATATTAACCCACTGATTTTTGCACTCGTGCTTGCAAACGCGACAGTGTTTCGATTAAAGCAGAAAATAATTTCCTTCCAATTTTACAGCCACGTCATCAGCAGTTATGTTCAAATGCGTGCCGCACCCTGTGGTTTTGCCCATCGAAACACATGACGAGTAACTACTTGAGAATCAATGAAGGTCGCATCAAATGCCATGTGTACTGCTGATGTGCAAGACCTTGTGATCATCAGCAGTATCTACATGTATCTGCTATATTTAACGATCGGGTGATACAATTCCACACGATTAATCGTTCATTACCTTCCAGGTGTAGGTGTAGAAGCTATCCAAGAAAAAGACGTTGTGGAATTGTCAATGTATGAAGCCTGACGTAAGTTTCCTTTACTCTTTATTTGCAATAATGTAAGCATCCTTAATTACAAGATTACGAAAACCGGTTGTTTAGAACAAAAAAAAAAAACCAAGGGAGCCATAGTAGCTCCTGTTTAAACTGTTTAGCCCAAGACAGCTCTTTAAATATTAAGACGTAAATGATAATGACAAATTTCCCTAGGCAATTCCGTACTAACCTTCATCCTATAAAATTAGCCTGTATGGAACGCATACGAATCTGTCCTTCATATTGTGCATGTAATGTATAACGTGACATTCATGACTGTCATGTGACATAGCGTTACCAGTACTATATTTAACCACAGGCAGCCCAATAAGGTTTCCGTTCCGAAGGCGATTGGCTACGAAATTTGCTCCAGGTATCTAGTAGAGGCCCCCCCCCCCCGATCTAGTGCGGCTACTAAGAACCTTATCAAAGTGTTTTTTCAGTCTTCAGAGAAATTTGGTAATTTGAGATTTCAAGAAGTCCTTGTGTTCGGCACATTTATTTCTCCAAAATACAACAAATCACTCTCGCAATGCGACAGGTGTGAACTGAGAAATGAAAGGAAAAGGCTCTGTTCTCTCTGTTGGTTGGTTGCCTTCGTGGCAAACGCTCTAAACCCTCTTGTTTTAGACAGGAGCCGATAAGTAATCGGCTCCTGGTGTAGAAGAGCGCGTGGGCCGGCAACGCAAGTTAAGTTGGTAACCGAGAGAGAACCAACCTCGTCCCCAGGGCGCCTTTCCCTGGCTTTGGCACCTTCAAAGCCAGGAAAAAGCGCCCTGGGGACGAGGTTGAGAGAGAACGAGCTATTACAGCTCATTCGCTACCTTTTTTTTTTTTTTTTTTTTTTTTTTTTTCAAAGACCCTCTTTTTTCTCTTTAGAGATCGTCTAGCGTGCGTATGAAAACAAAAACATCATTGGTTTACAATGCAGCAAGAAAAAGGTCTTTGAACAGGCTACTCGTCTCTCCGTCTCCTAGCCCCACCCCCGAACGGGCGGCACATGTCAGACTATGACTCATTTTCATTCATTGCCCATTCTCTCTTGTTGGTAGAAATAATCCTATCCTAAAGGTGCAGTAAGATTCAAACCTGGAGACACGATGCTCCCCAACTCAACTGTCATTCTTTATAGCCTGAGCATCAATACTGTGATCGATCTTCCTAGATAAGGTTAATAAATTTAGCGTGCAAAGAAAGTAGTGTCCGATAGCCTGGGACTAGTGGAGTTTGCTATCGAGCTAGCGAATTCTGTTCTTAACTTGCCCGCCAGGCAAGTGAAGTTTTTTGGCAAATTCACATTATTAAAAAAGTCAATCCTGCTGATCAAAAAACTTTTTTCGGGCTAATTAAAATGACCCTTGGGCTAGTACATGATTATACCTGCCAACTATTTTTAATTTATGGGCGTGACATTTTCATCCTGAGAATGTTAGCATTTTTCGTAGGGGTCCGATAATATGCGAAGATGCCCGAAGACGTTCGGAAGACGTTTCAAAACGTTCCGTCTAACACAAACACGAAATAACACGACCTCGTGTCCATCGACTTTGTCTACTAAAGTAAGAGAATTTGGAGAAAGTCGATCATTCACAAGGACTTTTATTTTTTCTCTCATTGGTTTCAGTTTCTTTAAATGATTAATATATTTTTCAAAATGTGTCAGTAAGTGCTGTAATGGCTCAAACTTTTCTACCAGGTGTGAGAAATTGGAACACAGTGAGTAGGTGTGAGATCGAAGTTTTCGATTCGCAGGTGTGACAATCACGCCTTAGGCATGGAACTTGCAGGTATAAATGCTAGTTGACTTTCTTCGCACCCTGAGGTTCCTTCCTCTTCCCGACTAATCTAGGAAGATCGAACGGCCTATGCTATCAGGCGTTTCGGGAGGGGAAGAAGAAAAGAGAGCGAAAAGTGAAGACAGCCTGATACTCAGACTATATTGTTTAGGGAGTATTCCGGAGTAAGAGACACCAAGACCATGAGTTGATTCTTTAGCTAATTAAGAAACGCGTTCTGAGAGCTTAGCGAATATCATACGCAAATTTATTTCGTTCATCCCAAAGCGTTTTAAGGAAAAACTTATAATCTTTGTAGTCTATTTAGATAGCTTGAGAAAACAGCCGTAATTTCGCGACGCCACCACTGACAGTCGCTAAATCTGGAGGGTCGTTACTTGCTGACCTTTCTGGATTTGGCCAGAGAAAGAGGCGGAAATCGAGTCAAGTTTTACTGTAAAATGTTATCTCTGCTTTCAAAGGTTCACTAACTTCCGGTGTCGTTACTCCGCCCTGTACAGTTTGAGTTCAAAAAAATATCCTGAGTTATTTTGTATATGTTTTTCTTTTGTAGCGAAGCTGTCAATTCAATTCACACTGTAACATGACAGCTGGGGGGAAAGAGGATGAGCGAACTGCGCTTATTTCAGGGAATGCAGTTGACAATGGCTTAGTTTATAGTGGAACCTACCCTGGTTCTTCTACAAAGAATGATGACGTCACAGATGGACGTGCTGATAAGCTGGTGGTCACCCTGTGCATTCTCATCACCGAGTTTTGTGAGCGCCTAACGTTCTACGGACTGGTAGCAAATATGGTGTTATTTTGCAAAGATGAACTAGATCTTCCCGCACCGTGGCCCTCGACAATTAATTTGATATTTTCAGGTTAGTAGATTTCTGCCATTTAAATTTGCACTAAAGTTCTGCTCAAAGTTAGCCTCCGTAGCAAGCGTTTCCTCGCGAGTTCGTCGAGAACGTTGACGAGAGCAAAAAAAAAGGGAATGACGGGGGAGGGGGAGGGGAGAGAAGTTTCCGTAAATGATCCTAATACCTTATTATCACTTATTTTCGCACGACTTTAATTTCGCGAATTTGGAATATAAATATTTCGCGGGACTTAAATCTTGTGACTTTGACTCGAATCGCCGTTTTTCAAGGTAATTCAGTTTCGCTAATCAACCACGCTGCTGCTTGTTTTTTAAACTTGCATTTCTGCATTTTATTTAACCATAACGGAATAGAAACGCAACAAGCAACTGGCTAGCCTGTATAGCAGGCGCTTGGAAGTAGTGGGCGCAAGAAAGAACGAACGCACGAGAGGGAGACACGTGAGGCATGCCTGGTGCGTGTCTCTCTCTCGTGCGCCCCGGTTCCTGCGCCCACTACTTCCAAGCGCCTGCTACGCAGGCTAGCAACTGGCTGAAATGTTCAACAATGTCAGAAACATAGCATCGTTTAAACGTAAACTGATACAAGCAACCGAGACACTATTTAACTCGATAGCGCTGCCAATTAGCTCTTGGATAAGGATCGCCTAAATGCTTTCAAATGGATCTTCAGGCGATAAGGTTGTCTTCCCTTGAACAAGTTCGGATATTCCCGCTTTGCTCCCATATGATCCTTTTATAATGTACCGCCTTCCCACACTGCCTGTCAAGTGGTTGTAAAGAATATTTTTAAAAGGATAAACCAGTGAGTAGCACTACTGCGAACTTCTTGAGTTGTAACATTGTTTTATTGTCTCCTACGCGTTTAGTGTGACTCACCTAAACGAAAGTAGTCTTGGTTACCCCGGAACACGAAGAAAACGTACCGATGTGCTGATGTTTTTATACTTACCACAAAAAACTAATTCGACTGGTGGCAAGATAGCCAGCTTCTGCAAAGCTTTGTAAGGCGTCTCAATGGCCTATTAAAATCGCGCAAGAATTTCATTTATGATACTTACAGATGTAGCAATATTCTGGCTGCTGGGTTGACGGCGCGATTATTTTTTTAGCGCTAGCAAAGTTTTGGCAGAGGAACTGTGAAGCCGTGCGGAACGCTTTTAAGATTGGCTAAAAGGTAGTCATTTTGTCTGGTAACAATTATGGAATAGGGATACTGAAAATATATTTGAAATCAGTGACTTGAAAAGGGGGATCTACTGAAAAGTGGTTTTGTTGAATGATTCTGGTTGGGAATGGAGCCAGCACAGCGCATCTCAGAGTTTTTGACAGAGTTCTGCTGGTGTTTTACCCTCTGAGAGACGTGCGCCTAGTTGCTGAGTATTTAAAAGTTGTACCAAACTAACTAAGATAGCTAGACGATGTTTAAAAGTTGACATTGCTTTTAATGTTATACAAAAATGTCAAGCCTAGAAATTTTTTTCCATACTTTATTCCATTTAAGATCATTTAATTTGAAATTAAATTTGTTTATGTTGCAGTAAGTTGGAGTTTAAAACAAAAGAAAAAATATATAAATAGACTTGCAACAAGAGACTGGCTTACTTGTAAAATTTATCTTCAAAACCATTTCGTTCATTTGGGGTCATTTGGATAGAAAGGAACTCTGCTTTCACTGCTCCTTACAATTTACCATTTTGTATTTTCTATTTTTAGGTGCCTGTTATTTCATTCCTTTAATGGGTGGGTGGCTTGCCGATGCTCGTTTGGGAAGATACAATGTTATTTATGGAAGCATGTTAATTTACGCTATTGGGGCTCTCTTGATCCTCCCAGTTTCGTATAATGGCATCGATCATAACAAGACAATGAGATTGGTGTACTTTGTATTGTCCCTCGTGCTGGTTGCACTGGGTACTGGGGGAATCAAAGCTAACGTAGCGCCCTTAGGAGCTGATCAGCTTGCAAGACATGGGCCGAGAGCCGTCGAAATCTTCTTCATTTGGTTCTACTGGTTCATAAACCTTGGAGGACTGATCTCTTTTACAGTTGTTGTGTACATACAACAAAAGTATGGCTTTTTTTACGGGTACTTGATCCCGGCAGGTACATTGCTTTTAACCATCACTGTCTTCGTGAGTGGCCGTAACAAGTACGTAATCAAAACGCCAGGAGGAAGCCAGCTAATCGAGACCGTGAAAATAATCTATCAGGCTGTTAAAAATCGACAAGGTCAAAGCGCAGAGATGTGGCTGGATCGGGCGAAGAGTAGATTTGGTGGGGCGTACACTGATGCACAAGTTGAAGACGTCAAGACTTTGTTAAGAATTATCCCAATGAATCTTCTATTTGTCATGTTCTTCGTAATTTTTCCTGCTCAGGTAAGTTTTTTTTTTCAATCAGGTTCACGTACTGCCCACTCATGTATAAATGTAATTAATCACTATGGCGTCTACTCTCCACGGTTCCGCAGCTAAGAAATCAGGGAACTTAAAAAGTTCTCAGCCTTCATTCACCTAGGGTCGATCCTTCCCGCGGTCTAGTTCCTTCTAGAAGAGAGCGCTCATTTGCCAAACAGTGGCTGGTAATCGAGCCTATTATCCTCCCTAGCCTTGGTGGGGGAATCTGGCAGAGCTTTTTCGCAGTCTACGTGGTTCCTGGCCCTGACTTTGTATTAAAGGTCTAAGACTGATTTGACTCCTGTCGTGGACTCATGATTGTTCCATTATCTCATCTACACACTACCGAGCTTAGCCCTTTAAGCCTCAATATCAACAAACAATTTCTTTAAACTCATCTTTATACATTTCCTCTAATTACTCGACTGTCGCAGCCTTTTCTAGCTGGCTATTGATATGTCAAAAGGAAAATTGATTTTGGTCACTATTGAATGACTTAAAGCATTTTTTTGTCTTTCAAGATGCCTTTGACAGTTTGTCGACTTGTGTCAGTAACACAAGAAAGCTCTTTGAAGTACTAAGGGGATTCTTGATAATTTCACAGGCGGTTCACACCCTGCGAGCAGAACCTTCATTAGCACTTATCCCTCCCACAAGCCAACATTTTGCCCTAAGTGAGAAGTAAGTGATAATGTTGGCTTAGGGGAGTGGTGGGTGGGCAGTTTCCCAGAAACCTTAATTGATCCATAAGAAGAAAAGGAGGCTCTGCCTGAATCATGTCGAACCTTTGAAGCCCGCTGCAGCTCAAACTTCTGGACTCTTCAACCTTGTTCTTTCTTGTCAAACTGTTTTTTTCGAGTGCGAGCATTTGGCCATTAATTGAAATGACCGATGGTCATAACCTAGCCCGCTATAGGAAGCGCAAGGCTATTAGGCCTGGGTTCGAAACTATATCCTAGCAACATGCCGCGCATGCTCAACAAAGATCTTACTCGATTCATGCGCAGTTCGAGTGTGCCATATCCGAGCAAGGAGGGCAAGAAAAGCTCAGTGCTGGCAGCAGGATGAGGCGTTTCTCTGCATCTCAAAACTTTCCGCTTCTAATGAAAAAAGCTCATTCCATACGAAACAGTAGTTTGAAACAGACAATAAAAACAAATTAAACGGAAGAAATTTAAAAGGAAAGGCTGAACTATTAACGCATAAAAATCACTCGTTATAAATTTATAGTCATGCAGCTAACGGTCAATCGAAATAGGCCATTTCACAGTTGCAGAGGGAAACAAAGCTGGAGTTGACCTTCTTTTCATACGACCCTTCTTGCTTTATTATAGTTTTCACTATAATTTCAAAGGAATTAAAAGAAAAGAGGCCTTAGTAAGTTGTATCAAAACCAGGCCAACCTCAATGTCACTTTCACTCAAAGGTTAGAGAACTAAGCCTACAACTGTTACTATTTTGCTGTAGTCTATGACGGCTAGTGCAGCGTTTACACAGCGCACCCTTTTTGGGAAACTGTAAATTAAAACACCTATTGATAACTTGCTGTTACAGTTGCAGACAACATGGCTTATCCAAGCCACCTACATGAAGCTGGAATTTCAGAGTTTCACTGTTCCACCAGCATCCATCTTTTCCTTCGACATTATTTGGGTTCTTGTAATAACTCCCATCGTCGGTCAAGTCGTATATCCTCTTCTAAAGTCCTGCGGTATAAGCTTTACTTCGTTACGTAGGATTGGTGTTGGAATGCTTTTTGCTGCAGCATCTATGATTGTAGCCGGTCTAGTGGAGATCATAAGAAGGCGAGAGGTCGAAGAAGGACATTTCTTTGATCAAGTTGTTTTTGGTAAACATCGCCAAGCTTCAAATCTAAATGTTTTTTGGCAAATACCCCAGTTTTTGATTATGGGCTGTGCTGAAGTACTGGCAGTTACAACAGGTAGGCACACGCCCTTATTTATTATTATTATTATTATTATTATTATTATTATTATTATTGTTGTTATTATTGATTTATTTATTTATGTATTCGGTTTTTTTAAATTGTGGACTGTTCAAGGCCCTCACTTTTGTCGCGACCAGCGGAAAGAAAAGAAAGTGCAAAACAAAAAAATAAAGATTCATTCCTTTGTTTGAAAGCTTTTTTTCTTCAAAAGTCGCGATGACTAGCCGCCCTTCGCGCCCTCGGCGGAATGTCCCGACATCACATCACTCGATCCTGATCGTCACTTCTCACAGTATTCTTAGTGGTTTGTAACCATGTGACAAGGCATTGTTTTGGTGGTCAATACAATAATTTTTTTCGAATATAACGTAAAAATGGGATTTAGTTCCCAGAGGAAAAAATGCTATATGGCCGCCGTGATGGCACGTGCAAACCAGGAATTTTCTCTTAATACAGCTAGTTTATCCCCTAAAATCTCTACCATCCTGCAAACTTTGGGCTCAAACGGATAAAAACTCTAAAAGTAGTTCCTTGGCTTCAATAACCCAAAGTCGCGACAGCAGACCCAGCGTGAAAAAAATCGGGAAAATGTAATCTAAATCTAGTCTTACCTTCAAATGCAGGACTGGAGTTCTCGTATTCTCAGTCTCCTGAGCACATGAAGGGAGTTGTTTTGGGTATCTTTTGCATCTCGACTGGTATTGGATACTGGCTGTCCAGCTTGCTTGAAGTCATAGTTCGTTCAGCTACCAACAACAAGTGGTATCCAAGCGAAAATCCCAACGAAGGAACAATGGAATGTTACTTCTTTCTGTTAGCTGGGCTAATGATTGTCAATTTTGTCATCTTTCTGTATGTGGCTTCAAGATATAAATATAGGACCGCACCGAAGGAGAGTGAAAAAACAGCAAATGACAGGGAGGAAGATCAGATTGATGAACCTGAAGTGTGATGCTTTGAAATTCGTTTAAAAAACCAAACCAGCCCATCATGAAAACGTCCCAAGAAAGGACTAGCATGCATGGGAGATGCTTGCCCGCTACGTGTTAGCACTGAGGGTCATTTGTTTCAGGATGTGCCGGATGGTGCAAACTGATTCAAAACACGTGAGAGGGCTAGGGAGAGAGGGAGCCTTCCTTGCCTGCCACCAGCCCCTTCTCCCAGATCACGCGCATCTTATTTTCGCCTGGCTTGCTATCTGAGAGGCCTGGCACAGGGTACACTGAGGGAAAATCCGCGTGCTGAATGGATAAGCTTTGAAGAATATTAGGAAGCGATTTTCCGTGAGGTCTATACGCTATAGATACAGTGTGGCACAAATTTTTGCGGTCGAGTTTATTTTTGCGAATTAGCGATTTTTTGTGTTTTGCGGGAACTAATTTTTGCGATTAAGATAGAATGGTTTTTCTTGCTGCGAATTAATTTTTGCTTTGACAATATTTTCGTTTTCATTGAGTACGTGAACAGAAATACATACTTTCAAACAATACTATGTTGTACGTTTTGTTTCTGAACTAAAGCGACAAGTTGTAAATGAACAGACAAACAGAACAGAAAAATTCCTTGTCTTGTTTTGGTGTAAAACTTTGGAATGAGATACCTTGCATTAATTGTCATTTTAGAGATCTTCCTAAAAAGAAATTTACGAAAGTGCTTCACAGATTGCTTTCCGACATCTTAAAAAGAGAAGATGACTATATTGAGACGTCATTAATAGTTGAAAAAGTTCGATTAACAGTTAAGTGATTTCTGTACAAAGTTTTCGCACTCCGTCAATTCCTTTTTCGTCTTTCCTTAGCAGATTTAATGTAATTAAAATAAAACTATGGTAGAAATATTATTTATTGTAACTTAAAATAGTTTCCTTCCTTTCTTTTCCTTTAACTTTATTATTTTTCTTTTAACTGGTCCGCCTAGATTAGCAATTGCTATTTTGCGGGCCAGTCTATTGTAGTCAATATTTTTATTAAATAAAGTTGAAGTTGAAGTTGAAGTTGATTTCTTAGTGCTGTATTTTTGTGTAGCGAATTTAATTAGCAAATATTTTCTCTGGAGTAAATTTTTGCTAAAAAAAAAGTTTGCGGTAATTTTTATTTTGCGAATTATTTGAAAAACCACAAGAATTAGAACCTGCAAAAATTTCGTGCCACACGGTGGGTCTATTTTCATGCTTTACTTCAAGAGAGAGATCATTCTCTCTTGTTTACGTACATTAAACATGAAATAATCTTAGAAAAGCCACTGCAAGAGTTATTCATCCATGAACAAAAAAACATAAATTACTATTTGAGTAACCTTCTACCTGGCTTATTATACTGAAGGAAATTAACCAGTCCGATTTTGTAAAATCTGCGACATTTTGAAACGGCGTTAAGTTGCCGTGCTAGACGGCTATCGTATCCCCAACTATCTCCAAAGTAGTCATAATAGAGATTAAGAATGCTGTCGCTACTTAACCCCTTTTCTTGGCTTCTTAGATTTTTTGACTCTCTAATTATTTTACGAAGTCAATTACCCCTTTTTCTATATTGTTATTTTATGAAGCCTTTACGCCTTTTTCTTTCTATTTCTTTAATGTAGGCTTTTCTTTTGCTTGTATGGGGTACAATACAGATGAGAACTAGGGCCTAGTTTTCACAGAGTTTTCGAGTTTTCCCATAGAGTTTTCGAGATTTCCCCACAGAGTTTTCAAGCCGCTGTAAAAGCGGTTTAAGAACTCAAGTTGCCTTTGCCTTTCCTATCTTGTTATTAATGTTACAATATAGTGGTGGTTTTGTTATTGTTACTCCGTTCCTTCTCCTAGCTCTCTCAACCGTCGATTTCTTTTTACATTCCTGATCCTTGTAATGCTTCGTCATTCAGGGATTGTCTAACCCCAAAACACTCGCGTTTTGCCTTTATATTTTAAACAGCAAAACAGTTGGGTTTTATTTCTTTTTTTAATCCTAAAAATCGGTTTTTGAAGGCGCGGCGGAGCCTCTCTGAAACGCCCACGCGAGGAGCTTCTCATTCTACAATACTGGTCAAAAATCTTGAAACACTTGTGTGATTTTCCCCTTCCCCAATGTTGATTTGGGTCTTACAGTCGTCTCAGTGCTCCAAAATACACGTAACTCAACATTGGGGAATGACGGAGAGGGGCACATTTGAGTGACAACAAAGTTGTGAAGAGTATGTGAAAAAAAGTTTCGACAGAACTCAACAGAAACTGTTTCCGTTTCAACGATTTGTGACGGGTATCATTGATTGTAGCCTGCAGCACAGGTGTTATTTTTCGCGTTTTTAGAGAATTTTAGCTATTTGAAATAGTTGATATACTATTTATTGTATAAGACTCCAAATAAAAAACATGTATGTATAGGGAGAGGAGATTGAGAAGGCTCCCTTTCCCTTTTCCCCTTAGTATTTTACCCCTCCCCCTCCCCGTCCCTTCCCCTTTTTGCGCCTGTCACGAAAGGGGAAGTACCCTGCGTAGAATATTTTTATATTTGTATGTATTGTTCACAAGCATTCATTGAACCTCGCCAAGCTAGTTTAGTCCAAAGTGCAAATGGAACCACAATTGCAGATCAACAAAGGAAATAATGAATAAGGCCATACTTGGTTTTAAAATCTAGATTTAAGAGGATTTACTGAACTGCTCGTCAAAAGTACAGACCTAGGACTGCACCCTTTTTTGAAAAAAAAATCGAAAGTCAGCTAAGATTGAAGCCGGTCCATTTACCAGCAAGTTTTCCTTGACAAATTAGTAAACCCGGGTTGAAAAGATTTCCTCACTTTTAAATCAGGGGGAAAAACTTGACGCTTTTTACCATTTCGAGAAATTAAAATCCCCGCGAAGTCTTCCCCGCAATTCGTCACGTAACGGTTCTCCCTATTGTTTCAGCTATTGTTTCATGGGACAAAACGGCTGCGTGGGAGACTAATCCTCGCGTGATTATCCAACCCTCCGATCCATGGCTGTCACGTCAATGTTTAAATATGGTAACGTTACACATGACATATGACACATGACATCACTCAGCCTTGTGATACGGTGTCAGAGGCCATGTGACGTTGTTTAGACATCCTTCAACCCACATGACTTCCCGTATTCCCAGAAAGATTCACTTTCCCTTTTTTATCTGTTTCCGTTTTGTCCGTCGTTAAAATAGCTATGCAATTTTTATTTCAGTGAGCAGTTGACTTAATTATTTTCCCTTTCGTTGACTTTGGTTGTTCACATGCAACACTCATGTGACACGTTTGTCTATGCCTAGCCTTGGTTCCTTTACTTACCCAGGGAAGTGCTCTGACTATCATGTGATAGGCGAACGGGCAAAAGTTCGTTCTCTTGAAGAATCGAATAAGCGGAAAATGAAAATTCGATGACTACTGATTTGACTCTAGGCATCGCGTTACGATATGTTCCGATCACATGTCCAGCGTCACTTCAACTCAACTTCTTAAAAAAGCGTTGAACCTTAAAATGAACAAGCATTAAGCATGACCATCCCATTATCGCTAGATATTAGCTAGCTACTAGTTGACCTTTTTTAGGTTTTTTGAACATTTTAGCAGTGGTTTTTCTCGATACTTGCTGGTGGAGTTTTGCTGTGAAGATCGCTTAAAAGGTAAGAATAACTCATAAAACGGCGCGCAAATATGAAAAGTCGGTTTATATGCAATGATGGAAACGTTTTTGATAACTGCTCCCAGTGCAGCACATGATGAAGAATGTTCTACATGCAAGAGCATGATTTTCTTCAGTATACGAAACGTTCGGGGTGCGCGGTGTTCAACGGCAAACAAAAATTTTAAGAGAGTGAAATCTTAAGTATTTGTAGTTTCATTTAATTTTTCTTCTGCTCTCCTTTCGATATGAACCCGGTTCCGTGGTAGACCGGCAAATTTAGCCTTATAACCTTACAGAAGACCAGAGAGAAGACTTTCAATTTTAGAACAGTGGTTCAATTTTCTTTTCCGCCGAAAATACGTTTAAGTGAGATTTTAGGCAACGGAGCTTAAACAAATCGTGTGGCCCGGTTTTTACAAGCTCTGTAAAGTGGAAAAATTTTAGGCTAGGTTTATTTCAGTTTTTAAGTTATTTTCTCAGTTATACGATCACAATTTAAACAAAAAATTACAAAACTTATTTTAAAAAAGCTAATCAAAACAATACTAAACATGAAGAACTCCGCTTAGCCTTTTCTTACGAGTAGTTCTGTGGTGTAGTTGAGTGGTCATGCCTGATCCATGCGTGAGTAAAACCCATATTTTCCTGCAGATAAATCCATGCTCGGGGAAATTATTGTATTAGCAAAAAAGTAATGAGTATAGTGAGTATATAATCTTCTTGAAATTTTTTTTACTGATTTGCAGACATATCTGAGTTTATTTGCGTTTCACCATGGCAGCTCAGCGAAATGATGATGAGCGTGCTGCACTGATTTCAGGAAGTGGCGTTTACGGGGGCTTGGTTTATAGTGGAAACCACTCTGGACACCCTGACCCTTCTCCTGGTGATACCCAGGCCACCGGAAATGGAAAAAATCGGCTGGTTACCCTGTGCATTCTAGTGACTGAGTTGTGTGAGCGATTGACTTTCTACGGATTGACAGGAAATCTTGTTTTATTTTGCAAAGATGAACTGGATCTTTCGGCACCGTGGCCTTCAACCATTATTTTGATATTTATGGGTAAGTGTAATTCTTAAAATTACGTAGTAATAACTGATGACAAGAGATCATTTCAACTGATCATTTCAAGAGATCATTTCTCCTGTTGATGAAATATAATTTACATTTGTATTATCAAGGTAGTCTCCAGTCTCCCTCCCCGTCGTTCTTGTCTCCCACGCAACGTTCCTCCCCAACAAATAGCGAACTTAAGCAACCAGAACGCTCACCGTCGCGGACTTCATGAATAGCAACCGGAAGTTCGATGTTTCTCTTGATGGAACGCTTCTGTCTCACTCAACGAATCCTTTTACCTTCCACTGTAGAATTTGATGAGTCAGAGCACTGAAAGACAGAAAGTATCCACTTCCGGTTTCCATTTTTAACGTCCTGGACGTCAACGTTCTCTTTGCTTAAGGTCCCTAATGTGAGCAGCCGTTTTTTGGGGAGGAACGTTGCGTGACGAGACAAAAACGGCTGCGATAGGGTGACTATTATCATGATTACGTACTCAAACCCGTTTATAAACAACAATCAGAGACAGCAATGCTCATAATACTGCTACCAAATGAAACTTTACGATAACATAATCAGCGTTTGGTAATATCCCTAAGGCCCGGGTCAGGTGGCTCGATGGGATTTTTCTGGGCCAATATCTCCAAAGTTTGATCATCAACTACTTCGCCATTAACAAAGATATAGAAAAACGATTACCACAGCTATATAACACGAAGATGGAAATTTATTATCGGCAATGTTATGATGTCATCAGAGTCTTCAACCTCGTCCCCAGTGTCTTCTCGTTTTCCAAGATGGAGGCGGCAAGAGAGAAGATCCCTGGTCTTCTTCTCTGCCACAGCCATAGGAAAACGAGATAAACTGCGAGCAGTCTCTCTTTTTCTTGAGATTTAGTGAGGGGATATATTTTTGCTTACTTTTCTCGGGATAAGTTAAGCGAGGAAAATAAGGAACCCTTACTTTCTCTGATCTCTTGACGTCAAAATGTTTGAATCTTAAGTGGAACCACGAACAGCAGGCGAGTGGTTTCCCTCTGAAGTTTTGAACACTTTGACGTCATTTCTATGGTTGATAAGAGTACAGACCATGGAATGGATTTGCCTTTCTATATAATAACATTGACAGTTACCTGATTATTGCTACTGCACTTTTTTACGCCCATTTCCGTTGGCGTTTTGCGGAAAATCGTGCGAGAGATCCAAAGGCGGATCAAGACCTTCAAATAGGGGGGGCCCGGTCATCCAGACCCTGAGATAAGGGGGGGCGGTATCAAAATAAATTTTGCGGCCCTTCGGGCCTCAGTTTGGTCTAAAAATAAGGGGGTGCCGGGCCATAGCTCTTGACCATTCAGCGAGGGAGACTGAAATCGCTCTGTTCTTGTAATCAAAATTATCTATTTTTTGTTACTTTTTCCCTGTTATCATGAATGAGCAGACCATTGTCCGTAGGTGACATAATGATCGCTAGTCCAGTCATACTTCGGAAAAAAGTTTTAACTGATGATAAAAAGGTATTATCTTAACCCCTCAGGTACCTGCTACCTTGTTCCCTTGCTTGGAGGATGGGTAGCCGACACGTACATGGGAAAGTACAACGCAATCTATGCCAGCTCGTTGTTATACCTCACTGGAGCTTTGTTAATGCTCCCAGTTTCCAACGACGAAATCGCCCATAACAAGACAACGCGATTAGTGTACTTTGGATTGTCCCTTGTGATGATTGCAGTGGGCACTGGAGGAATCAAAGCCAACGTGGCGCCCTTAGGAGCTGATCAGCTTGAACAATACGGGCCGAGAGCCGTCCAGAGATTTTTTAATTGGTTCTATTGGTTTATTAACGTAGGATCGCTGGTGGCGTTTACAGTTGTTGTGTATGTGCAACAAAAGTACACCTTCTTTTACGGGTACCTTATCACTGCCTGCAGTATGTTACTAGCTGTCCTAACCTTCGTCGTCTCCCGTAACAAGTACATAGTCAAGCCACCTGGAGGTAGTCAAATCACCGAGACTGGGAAAATAATCTATCAGGCGATAAAAAATCGCCCTCAACCAGAGGCAACGACGTGGCTGGACAGGGCAAAGATAAGTTTTGGTGGAACGTTCTCTGAAACACAAGTTGAAGATGTCAAGGCACTGTTGCGTGTCATTCCAGTATTTCTTCTATTTATCGTTTATTGGGTAATCTACGCACAGGTAACTAAATGCTCCATTCCGAATATAAGCTAAGTCATAAAACATACCAAAGATACAGTTTGCTCTATGAAGGTTCGGCAATTAAATAGTCAGTGTCATTTATCAGTTAGTACACTTATAGAGTCGAAAGGACGCTTTTTTCATCTTGCAAATGAGAAAAAAACTAATTATATTAGAACCAACTAAATTAGCTTGCTTTATAGGTCAAAGGCCTTATGTAGCCTAAGCGAAGAGAGGAGGAAACATAGTTCTCCTTCTCAATCAGCCAATACATATCATTGCCATATATATATAAAAGCATCTATCTTGAAAACTCAGTTTTCCCCTAATCTTAAGGAATGTGTCTATTATGGGTCTGAAGCAGTTTCTGGGGCCGATACTCTCTACAATGGCCCATACGTGGAGGTTCCGCCTGAAATGGGTACCTTTTTCAGGTATAAGAGAGGGCGGTAAGGATTTCTCTTGCTGAAGTGAAAAAAAAATACTGTAGGGAAATTTGTCCGTTTTAAGTCTGTAAAAAGGCCCAAAAGGGCGAACAGGTGCTATGCTATGGATGTAAAAAAAAGTCGAGAAAACGCTCTGGTTTTGTGTTCTATTCATATTTTTAGGACGTTTAGTGCAGTTACAGCAGTTAAAAGGGATGCGAAATTCTAAACTAGGCATACCAAAGGGTTACCAATTATAAATAGAAGGTATACGAAAATAGCATATACAAGGGTGAGGGGCTGGACCTTGGAACGGAGCCTTCCGTTTCAAACTTGCCCGGTCCCTCACCCCCTCCCTGCTGGAAGTAGTTTTCTTCTCTCCTAGAAAAAGAGATCTTTATAGAATCTAAATTCATTATTGATTTATTCTTATTTTATATTCAGATGTCGACATCATGGCTTATTCAAGGCACCTACATGAAACTAGAATTTGAGAGCTTCAGCGTTCCAGCGGCATTTCTATCCATTTTTGACATATTTATAATTCTTCTTCTCATTCCGTTAATGGATCATGTCGTGTATCCCATTCTCAAACACTACGGAATTTCCTCCAGTCCCTTACGCAGAATTGGAGTTGGAATGTTGTTAGCTACAGCATCTATGATTGTATCGGGGCTGGTGGAGATAAAAAGAAGGCATGCTGTAGAAGAAGGACAATTCTTTGATCAGGTTGTTTTTCGTGAACATCGCAACGCTTCAACGGTGAATATCTTTTGGCAAGTCCCACAATTTCTTCTGCTTGGTTCCAGCGAGGTGCTGTCAGTTATTACAGGTACTTATATCATAATTGAGTAATAATTAGTTCTGTTTAACCATATTTAGTACTCGCTGTGGTTAGCCAAATAATTAAGCAGTGGGGGCAGTCACATCCCATTAGCTTACAAGATAATCTAATTTTAGATAAAGATTACTTTCGATTTGTGGAACGCGTTTTCTTAGCGAGGCGGCCATTGTGAATTTTGCAGTCAGCTAGTGCAAGGACCAGAGCCGAGGGTAAGCTATCGGATCTATCCGAAGCGCGCGGTGTTAGCTAGACTTGCTACAAGTCGAGCTCACGAATTTATTACTGAGCGAAGCGAGCTTTTAGGCCTCGAAATTCTCGAAGCGGCCAAGCGAGCCACGAAGGACTTTTTTCAAAGTCTAGGTGATAGCCCGTTGGAGGAGAATCACCGCGCGCTTATTAGTCAGTACCCGCGCCTCACGATTCGAAGAGGACGCTCGGTTACTAGGACTTACCAAACGCCTTCCTGAATAATAAAAGTATTTCTAGGCTTTTCGGCAAGAAACATACGGTAGAAGACAAAGCTTTTTCTCGCGTATCCTTAAAAAATAAACAACCCTGAAAACTCTTTTTTCATTAGAAAAGTTAACGCAGTTATTTTTATTGAAGGTTAATCCCTCTCCCGATGACAAAATGATAAATCTTCTAATATTTGATAACTTGCAATTGTTTCCCTCACTACAACTTCTCCAAAAATTTGTAGTAGAATGACGACGGCTATCGCGTTTTGTTCCCGCCAAAATGACGCTGGTTTGCATGCGCGCGCACTAGTTAGCATTGACAAAATCTCATTCTCTTGGTCGTCCTTGTATTCCCTTGTATTATAATCCATAGGTCTCTACAAGAGAGGATTAAGGGGACAGAGAAGGCATCCTCCATACACACCCTATTCCATAGGTAGTTCGTCTCGCGTTATTTTTAAGACCACAGATCCCAAGAGGAATTAGACAACAGCCAATCACATAGTGCGAATGTGGTCCCCGTGGATGACCCACCCTAGCCATGCGTCCTTCACAAATTGACGCAGAACAAAATGGCGGAAGACGCGGAGAGCGATATTGCTATTCGTTTTGTCGACGAAAACGACTACAGAGAGATTTCTGCTAAAGCTGTGTCAGAGAAACGGAAATTAAAAAAGAATCGCCCTTCCTCTCTTGTATAGAGCTAACACTACAGCAGGGAAATCCTTAACACACTGAATATTCTCTCAGGATCATTTATAATTTACATTTTGAAGAGAGCAATTTCTGGTTTGATATTTATTCTTTTATTAGTTGCTTTATTGTACAAACGACAGGTTTCAATAGACCAGCGAAATTTCTCATTTTATTAAAGCACTGAGGTCACGAAAACTTCGAGTTAAACTGATTTCATGGGTTGTCAAAGAGTCTAGCGATTCCCTTTTCCCAGGTGAGCGCCGAGTCATTTCGCGTCAATATTCAGGAATGCTTTCAATCTCTTTACGCTTTCATTGCCTTGCGCCCAACATGTTTTGCACGGCGTTTAGTCAGGCGAAACCTCCACGAAACATCCACTCAGCGGGCGAGGTAACTTTATCCCGATTCTAAAAATAACTCGAGACGAATAACCTATGGAATAGGGTGTGTATGGTGGATGCCTTCTCTGTCCCCTTTATCCTCTCTTGGTCTCTATTATTAAATATATAGAGCCATAATATTAATTTTGGACTTTTCTATGTGAATAGGGCTGGAGTTTGCCTACTCTCAATCTCCTGAGTACTTGAAAGGAGTAGTAATGGGCATGTTTCTGATCACCGGTGGCCTTGCAAACTATATCACCAGTCTTATTGTTGTCATAGTCAGATCAGCGAGTAACAACAGATGGTATCCAAGCAGCGACCCTAACAAAGGAGAACTGGAATGCTTCTATTTTCTTCTAGCCTCGCTAATGATGCTCAATTTTGCCATTTTTATGTTCGTTGCTTCGCGGTATACTTACAAGGTTAAGCCCAAAAAGATTCCACAGAAAGAGTATTGGGTGAAAGGAGATCAAGAAAATGAACCTAAAGTATAACAATTATAATTACTGAGCTTAGGTTTAATTAAGACGAACTTTGTTTCATCTTGAAATCTGATGATTTCGTAGGAGCAAAACCAAACAACTAACGGACAATAACGTAAGATTTGACTGGTTCGTCGGACAGACTCCAGTATGCGCGGCTTTTGGTACATGTTTTGGCGACAACACAAATGCATTCCAAGCTGAGAAAATTGTTGAAAACAAATTTTCTGGATAACTCTGGAAGTGAAAGATTGGGCTGAAGATTGGACGATCAAACGATGTTTATCCATCTTAGCGTTTTTCTTCGCGTGAAAAGGACGTTTTTATCCTTTTCGCTGTGGCTGATAAAACGGATACCAACAACGAACACTAAACAGTTCCGAAAAGTCAAAGGAAATCGCCCAATATTGGAAAGAAAAACTCTTTAAAAGCTTTATGTCGACTGTACATACAAATATATTTTTAGGGATAATCCTAGAAATCATACGGGATAATCATGTTTTCCACCTGGAAAGAACGGGGGTTTTCCAAGCATTTCTTGTCAGTAGTTCATCTTGTCGGCATAAGCTCCTTTGTAGATTAATTTTGAGTGTTTTTAGGATTTTAATCAGCTTTTCAATGTTGCACTATAATTAACTTGATGGACATCTAATAAAATTCTCTGAACTTAAGTCGTGATTCTTCCTCTATTTAATAACCTGTAACTGATTACGAACTAGGTGATTGTTTAACATCACTCGTTGTATGACAAGGATGCATATAATCTTCTTTTATTTATCATACTGTTTTCAGTAGAAGGAATTGTATTAAAATCCACGCATTTGTCGAGTGAAGTGAACATGTGTCTCGCCTGTGTTCAAAATTCATCTATCAAAATGTTTATTTTGCACCAGTATGAGGAAATCTTACTTAATTAATTTTCGTAAAATTTCGTTCAAGAACTGCTCATTTGAATAACAACAAGTAAACTCAGAATTCCACACATGACAGTAAAGAAAGAAACTTTGGTGCAGTTCTTTGCAGGCGATTTGTTCTTGCTGGAGTAGTCACGAACGCCGCCAGGATTGTTACACAAATCACCCTCGCAGCAAACCGCGCCGCAATTAGTGATGTTAATGCCAGAAGTCGCTAGAGAACTCGTCTTCATCTGCTGACAAGTCATGTTGCCCTCTAACTGTTGAAAGCTGCAGGATGATTTGATGCTGCAGTTAAGGATAAAGCCTTTGATATAGCCAAAAATGGAATAATTCATGCCAACACTAGCGATACCACAGGAATCGTAGGCGCCTCCCAGGTCATTGCAGTCAACAGTGTCAGTGGTATTGTGGCAAAGACTTGTGTTGGATACCACAGGATGGCTCAAATTACCCCCTAAGGCTGCGTCGAAATCAGCTTTACACTGAAGACATTTGATAGCACAAGCTGCAAGGTAAATGACGATGTTTGCTTGATTCAGTCGAACAAGCTAGAGGGTTTGGCTACTTTAAAGGATGGGGCTATACAGACGCTAAATCAATATTTTTTGTTATACCTCCTTACTAAAAGCGCGTTTTCCGATTGAACGCCGAGCGTATCATTTTCCACATGCGAAAAAACGTTTTTGAGCAAGATCAGAGGAATTCAGTTACTTATTCGCCTACGGAAACATTAACGGTTTCGTGAAAACTCACCTCCCCCAAGATAAAAGTATTTTGCTGATGAGAATGGGAGAAATCTAATTAGAAAATTATATCGTGTTACATGTCAAAAAAGAATATTAAATGACGCACTGGGCTCATTCTCTCGACCCTATACATTTGTTCTCTTACTTTCTCTTGAGACCGACGCCACTAATCTGGAATGGAGAATGGCCTTTGGATAGGCTGTGAACAAGCTTTCTCGTGGGGTATAGGACTGGGGAAAAGAAAGCTACAAAGTGCAACGATACGTGATGGAAAAATCAGGGAACAGGCTTGTGTGCCCCTTACATTCCACGATCCGCCGGGTTGTTACTGCAGGCTAGCTGTTGACCAGCCTGAACAAAAAATACGGATATACGGAGCTGGGAAAGCTTACCTTAACTTTTTGTTTTAGTTGTGCTTAGTTTTAGTTCGACATGAGGTAAAAATCCAAAGGCTTTTACGACTTTTAACCAATCGTATTGAACGTAACAGTTTTCTCTAACCCAGCTCTTCTCGCTATGTTATGAAGAAGGTATCCTTCTTAGTTAGTACGTACACCACGCCCTTTACGAGGCTCTCGATGAGGGACGGGTATAAAAAAGAATTGAACTGTCAGCTGAAAGAGGAAAGATTGTTAACGGATAGCTTAGAGGTGTGATTCCAAAAAAAAATGACTGACAATAATTGAAAAAAAACGGGCCGGAATTTAAACTGATAACTGAGAAATTGTCGAAAAGTTACCTACTACTAAAGCGCTCTTGTTCGTTAACTTTTAGAGGCGCCTTTAAATACTCGCGCAAACACAACGCGCTTTACTGATATTACAAGTACAGTAAAGACCACAGGAGTTGTGTCGAGAAGAAAAAGCAATGAATCTATTCAAGTTCATGGCCTTTTCTTTGATACACATTCTCAAGCAGAACCTCCGCTACTAACCCTCTTGCACTGCAATCACCATCACAGCTGTTAACAAAAACGGTTTCATCATGAACCTTATTCTTCGTTATGTTGCCACAGTTACACGTCCTCTGAAACGTCATAATCACGTAGATGCACGAGTGTGATGCGCGCTCAGTTGAATTAAGAAATGGTAAACGTGCAGCGTGCAACCATCGAGTTATGCCGGATGTACGCGGGAGATTGCTCAACACGAAGGAAGCGTAAGAGTTGCTCAAGGCATAGCCACATGACATGACAATAAAGTTAATGATGACATGGTTTTTATAACATTTGACTAGAGCGAATGGAAAGTATACGATGACTAGCTATGCTATGTCAGCTTTTGAAGTGGCACTCCATAAAGACCATTGTCTCTTTTCCTATTGAGACCCACAAGCAGGTGCCGGGAAAAGAATCTAGTCAGCAAACATCAAAAAAGCCGAAGGCTGACTGTACATCTATGAGATTAAATTTTCCTTTTCTCGTAACTGTACAGTTAGCCTATCTTTTTCGCTGTTCTGTTCATCTAAAGTGAACTCGTCACCACGTGACATGCCTCGTGAGCATGAATATGCGTTAACGAATGTTTTACACTTGGGAAACATTTCTTGCTATTCCAGGTTTTTTAGCGAGTGGATATAGCTTATTAATCATATTTTGAAAACACGTCCCTCTGGCTTGAACATGTACATAGGTTTTTTGAACATGTAAGGTGTTCAACTCTCGAGAATTAGTGCATTTCTGCAAAAGGACACCTCGCTTATATAACGGACACCCCATGATGAAACGGACTAACATCAAGATTAAAACCAACCTGGTTTTTCTAAAAAACAAATTACAGAAGATTGAATGAAATAAACTTCCCGCTATTACCGGACTTTGATGGGCAAATGAAGGACATTTAACTAGAGGTCCCAAAGACGTGTGGTTATTTATAAAGGGATGTTTTGACTATTGATTTTTCTGGGTTCTATACGTAATGGGGCTCAGGCTGCTTAATTTTTAAAATATTCCATTGATTTTTGTGCCACCACAGTGGCAGCTAGGTATGTTTCAAGATTTAGAACATGTACATAGGTTTTTTGTGGGAAGGGGGGGTGGGGAAGGTGTTCAGGACTAGAGGAGAGAATTACAACAATGTAAGGGAAAGAAAAGCTTTTCTCGCTCTTTTCCTCGTTTCCCTTCATCCTTTAGAGTCTCCCGAAGATTGCGTGATACTGGGGGCAAATAGAGGTTTTAATAGAAGAGGTACAGGTGAGCTGGAACCTTGAGATATACCATGTCCGTATAAGGTAAGGTAGCCGTACCCGTGGCTGTAGCCTGTTCACAGACCCTCTATTTTCTCTTCAAAGTCCGTTGAGCGCTGGTGATAATTGTTTTTGAAAAGAACGAAAAGAAAAATAAAAAAAACATCTGTTTACAGGCTACCGTGGCTGTAAATACAGGTAGACTGCCTCTTACCTCGGAAAAATGACTAGGTTACTGGGTAGAAAATAGTGATGCTATTATCACATGTGAGGAATACTTGGAATACTGGGCAGAAATGGGGCACCAAGATCCGGGTATCGTGCCGTTTTTTGACTGTAGAGGCCTGTTTCTCGAAAGGCCCGGAAACTTTTCGGACCATAAGGCAAATTTTAAATCAAAACCGATCAGAATAGTAGCCCAGTTCCTAGCCCAAAAACCTGTCAGTTTTGCTTCGTTCATTAATAGTTTCATTGTATCATTTTCAAAATTATTGAAACTTTGATCTTGAATGAAAAACACCAAACAACTTTCAGCGCCCGAAAAGTTACCGGGACTTTCGAGAAAAGGCCCTGGGGAGGCGACCGATCGGTACTACATGGAACCGAGGCAACACCGAAAGACACCTGAATCTCACGTGAATACCTCGGGTATGCAAATCTGTTTATATTTCACTTTTACAGTACTTCAATCTACTTCCTTTTATCAGTGTAAAGCAATACTGTATCGGGTCAATATCGCCATAGGTAGTTTTCTTCGGATGTAAAGGTAAGAAGCAATTTGCTGTGATATTTGTCTTGCAATTCTGGAAATATTGGAGCAATTTACTTTTGCCTAATTTTCGCATACAGCAATAGAGATCGTGAAATAATTTTTGAGCAACAATAATGAACCGCCAAAAAGGACAAGTAGGGGTCAGTCTAACATTCATTCACATGCAAATGAAGGGTCTGATATTTTATGCTTTACCCGAAACATTCAGCTGGTCTGTAACGTCAACTGTGTGTGATCGGCTGAAAGCAGTTTAGAATTGATCGCGTTAGCGGAGAGCGCGCGCAGTCAACGATAGATAGAATTTATACGGTCGATCTGAACTGTACTGGCTGAGTGCTTTTCACTTCAGATCTTGATGCAGGCGTACAAGAATTTTTATCAAATGTCTGTGTTTTTCTCGACGAACGTCGAACATGAAATATTAGTGTTACCCTCCTTTCGAGTTGTTTCTAGACATCCCCTTCAGGCTACATTTTTAAAATGAATGACGAGTTTTTTCTTTTTGGGGGGAAGGGGGCGCATTTTTCCTTTAATGGGAGATTTGATTTCTACAATTTTTGCGTGGGTAGGGTGCAAATGGAGGGACCCCTGTTTGTCTTCTTTCCTGACATAAAATAGTTGCATCGTCATCAGCCAGTTTAAACCACCTGTTGATCAACCCCTGACAACCATACATCTACAATCACTGTGGTTGTGACTTACTGTAAAGGTTTGCACCTCAAATCCTGGGCAGAGGGTGGGGTTGGGGACATTTGGGTCCGTAAGAAAACAAACAATTTGGTGTGGACCTTCTAGTCTGGATCATAGCCTATAAAGCTGAGTCAGATCTACAATATTCCTTCAATTCAGTGAAGACGCATCACTTCAAAGCTGCTTCATTCAGTTTAATCCCATTCGTTACTTTCCACATTATCAAAAAAAATGTTCTATTCATCACTGCTGTGGTTTTCTTTTTTTCTTGAGGAGATTGATCTTCCATGCATCCGCTTGGATATCAGATCAAATCAACTGATTTCATCGTAAGGACACTTTAGACAGAACAAATGCGGCCTTTAGGGGTTACTGTCGTAATGTTTTCCTGGCAACCCTTCTTGGCTTTAAATATTCCGCGAGGTTGAAATCCAAACTGAAAGGTAAAATATACAGCCACATAGTCCTCAGAAATTGTTCACCGATCACAGAAGGAGATCGATCATGTTCCTCGCCAGAGATAGTAGTATAATCATAATTTTCCTAATTTCCGTAAGCATCGTGTTTCTAAATGTATCGCAAACATTTGTGGCGGGTCAGCCAGGAATGTCAGCAATCAAAATTAATTGGCGGTGCAATATTTTTCAGCCAATGATATTTTGCTTCGTCTGTGCAAAGCAAAAATGAAAATTTATAAGAGATCATTGCAAGGTCTCCTTTCCTCCACCCTTACAGCTTTGCTGCTCGCTCTGACTTGTGTTCTCTTGCAGCTCACTTCACTCGCCATATATGGAGAGTTTTAATTTTTAATACTCAAATCAATGTGATACCTTAGTGAGTCACTGAGTTCTGTCTTGCATTCCTCTCAATAATTCTTCTGTTTAGAATCTAATGCCATACAGACGGACTCAGAGCTACAGCAGAGACATTAGAAACCAGAAAGGAAAAATCAAGTCGGGGCACCAAATCCAAAAAATCACTTGCATTTTTGCCAAAAACAAAAAAATTAAAACCAAATGCCAAAAAAATTAAAGGAAACAGTGCAAACCGCTAGAGACACCTAAGTTTTTCTTTGCAAACCCCCGAAAAAACAACATTAAAAGTAGTTAAACCTACAAACTGAAAATCCCAATAGCAAGGATTTGCTGTTCCTTCTGGGGTCAAACTTTTTAAAAATACAGATAGCATTTGTTTAACATGAAAAACAACATGTAAACACCATACATTGACAAGATGAAATGATCGTGTTGTGACATTTCTTAATAAATTATGTTTATTTTCTTATACAGGTTGTTCTAACTGAATTATATGATGGATATCCACAGTGAAGAGGAGACTGCTCCATTAATCTCAAAGGACAGCCCTGGATCTTCCACTGAGAATAACCACTTCAAAGGTCGTGGTCAGAAACTGCTGGTTACCCTGTGCATCCTCATCACTGAATTGTGTGAGCGTCTGACATTCTATGGACTGACAGCAAATCTAATTTTATTTTGTGGTAGTGAATTGGGTCTTAAGGCACCCTTGCCATCAACTATTAATTATCTTTTTCAAGGTTGGTTTCCAGTCAAGCCTCGTGTAAGAGACCACACAAAAATAATTTGTAATGAGATTTAGTGGCTGCTTATAGCGAGTGATTGCTTGCAAGAATCATTAACCACAGGGGCTCTCTTCCGAGAAAAGGATGTCTGGGAATACTGTTTCTACTTTTTGCATCAGTTATATGGTTCTATAGTGGCACTCAAAGTTCTTCCCGAACTTTGAGTAGCTTGGTGTACCGTGAACGTTAACATATAAATCGGACCATTCACCAAGTTGTAGCTCGAAGGGGTTAAATGAATGTTAAAACCAACATCCAAATAAGTAGTCATCGGGTCGCTTATTACAAATGTACTTCTACATGTAAGAGGCGTCATTTACAAAAGGTTCCAATTTATATAGGGCTCTGACTGGGAAAATTTTGGTGTTTTACATAGGTGCTTACTAATGAGGCCTGGTGACTTATAAGAGGAGGAGATTCGATCGTAAAAATATAATTTAATTATTGTGTATTAATAAACAATGTTTTTTAGACCGAATCCATCAGGAAATTGAGTCATTTTAATTTTCGGTGGACAAAAACCATATACCAGAATAATTTAAACAATATCACATTCTTTTTTACATTTTTCGAGGGCTATAGATGTAATAAGTTATCGGTAATAATAACACCAAAGAGATTTCTTATGGGAGCCCTAGAAAACGAATGTCAAATTTCACAAAGTGACATCTTACACATGAAATTTTCAGAATTTTACCTGTGTTTCACTTTTCTTGTGAAATTTGACATTTATTTTCTCGGGCTCCCATGAGAAATTATAGTCTTCCGTGTTGTTACACAATAAATGATAATAAATTATATCTATAGCCCTTCAAAAATGTAAAAAAGGATGCGGTATTGTTTAAAATATTCTGGTACAAGGTTTTTGTCCACTGAAATTTGAATTACTCAATTTCCTGATGGATTCCATCTTAATAATTCTAAGGATACACACTGTGTATTGGTCAGTAATAATCTCTCAGACACTTTGTACCATTGAATACCCTCCAGACTATTTATGAAGCCCTCCTTTCCTCTTATTTGTCATATGGTATAGTCGGCTGGGGACAAGCGGCCAAGACTCATATGCTAACCAACTATTTTTGCTGCAAAAGCATGCCATTTGATTCACTTTAATGTACTTTGTTATCTTTGCAATCATCTTAATAGTGTGCTTGTAAGCTTTTGACTTATATTCTGTATTCCAGTTAATCTCAGCATTGCTTTTAGCACAACCTTTCTTCCGTTCCTTACCTTTGTACAAGTAATATACAACGTATATGCTTAAATAACTTTTGTTGACTTGTTAATTTAATACCATTTGGAGTGTGTATTTGTTTTATTTAGACACTTCCCTCCTAGACTATAGCTCTTGCTATTTGTGGGCAGTGAGAAAATAAAACTGTAAAAATTGTTAATTTAAACTATTAAAAATGAAGATGATGATGAAAATAACCCACTATCGATATGTACCATTTTGTCAGTGTACCAAGTAGTGCTCATGGGTAAACCAGCATCATTTCAATGGCAGGAAAACTCAACAGCCATCATCATTCTACTACTTAGTTTTAGTGAGAATGTGGTAGTGGTAAAGACACGTTATATCAAAATGTTAGAAGTTTTATTATTTTGTGATTGGGAGATCAGAGGGCTCAATGAAGATATCAGTGCTAACTTTTGTGGTGAAGAAAATGAAGCTTTCTGGGCTGTCTATTTTTTGAGAATATGCCAAAAAAAACTTTAAATCAAATCTCATACCCGTGGTTGTTCTCGTCCTCAAATCTAAAGGTCTCTTTTATAGTAACGCCGTAAGCAGATCAACAGCATGTGATAACAGCATTTCTTTAATACTTTTATTAATGCTCATAATTTTAGGAACATGCTATCTCATTCCTTTGTTTGGAGGATGGCTGGCTGATGCACATCTGGGCCGTTTCAACACCATTTATGGCAGTTCTTTGCTTTATGTTGTCGGGACTATCCTACTGGCAGCAGTTTCTGTACGAAATAAAACGCTGGCATCATGGTTTGATGATAAGGGTTTTGCCCATGATCCCACTATCAGACTGGTTTATTTTGCTATCTCTTTGGTATTAATTTCATTCGGCACTGGTGGAATCAAAGCAAATGTATCACCATTTGGAGCTGACCAAGTTCAAAAAGATGGGCCAAGAGCAATCCAAACATTCTTTAACTGGTTTTACTGGTTTATAAACATTGGATCACTGATAGCCTTTACAGTGGTTGTGTGGGTACAGCAAAAAAATGTATTTTATGGTTATGTGATAACAGCAGGAACAATGTTTCTTGGTGTAATTGCCTTCCTCTCTGGCCGAAAAAAGTATTTAACCAAACCGCCAGGTGGCAGTCAGCTAACTGATACTGCAAAGATCATCTATGAAGCCATAAAGAATCGTGGCTCGGCAAATGCAGTGGTCTGGTTGGATAATGCAAAGAATACATGTGGAGGAAAGTATACTGAGGCAAAGGTGGAAGATGTCAAAATTTTGTTAAGGATTTTACCAGTGTTTGCTTTGTTCATTGTCTACTGGACAATTTACTCACAGGTATAAATTATCAATTTATCTCATGCTATTTGCTATCTTTTTAAATATGGTAGCTAAAACTTGTCTTCCCATCAACTTATTGAATTCCAAAATAAGGGTCTGGGGTTTATTAAGACTATAATTAGGGGTGTAACGATTCATATTCCTTGTGATTCGATTCAATTTTGTTTATTGCCTTGCGATTTTGATTCGATTATGTAAATGTTTCATAATTCTTATAACATAACGCGTAATGTAAACAACATGCAACCCTAAACCCTCAATATGAGAATAGTAATGGGGAGAGGACGATTCACAGTCACTTGGTTCGTTGCCATGTTTGAGAACCTGATAAAGAGCGTGTCGCACATGGTTTGCCTTATTTGGAAATTCTCAAGAGGTCAGGTTGAAGGACAGCATTTTTACCAGGGAACACAAAATGGATCATGAACTGCTATCGCATTTGCTCGTCAATCAAAAATGCACATTAAAGAGTTCTTGATTCTTATTTTAGAATATAATAACTCACCGAGGGCACCCTGGAAAAGGTACATGTGCAAAAATTGAACCAAAATCGAGACATGGAAGGAAAGAATCATGAATCGAAACAAACGGTCATAATCGCGATTAATCGTTACACCACTAACTATTATTTTAAAATTAACCATCAAAGTCTGTTTTTAATTTGTCCTTTTTTGCAGATGCAGAGCACATTCCTCATACAAGCCACCTACATGAGACTGGAATTTAACGATTTCACTGTTCCAGCTGCTTCTCTTTCGATTTTTGATATAGTTGCTGTTCTTGCATTTATTCCCATTATGGATCATGTTGTTTATCCCCTCATTCAATTCTGTGGCATTAGATTTACACCCCTGCGCAGGATTGGTGTTGGACTGCTGTTATCCGCAGCATCTGTGGTAGTAGCTGGTCTGATTGAGAGGTGGCGACGACATGTATGGCAGGCTGGAGGTGTTTATATCCAAACTGTTTTTGACGAAAAACGTGAAGCTTCAACTCTGAATGTCTTTTGGCAAGTCCCGCAATTTATGTTAGTTGGTTCCAGTGAGGTTCTTACAAGTATTACAGGTGGGAAAACAGCATTAAAGAAATAAGAAGCACTTTGTTAACATTACTATCCAAGCCATTTTCAGAAGGATTTGTGTGGAGTCATCAGAGCAAACTGGTGATTACATGTACTCACCAATTTGCACTGATTTTTGGCAAGTGGCCCTTTTTCATGTTGTTATTTCTGAATGTGTTAACCAATCCAGTAATTTCACAAATTTGAATTTTTGTTACGTCACACTTTTCTTCTCTGAGAAGGAAAAGTAAACATTTCTATAAATGGTGCCCTATGCTGGGAGTCTAATACTTGCATTCCAGTCCTTGCATTCTAATTCAATTATTGCTGTATTACATACTAAGTCATTGTTAGAACACCCCCATTAATCAGTCAGCTAGTCTATTACAACCTCACCTGGCCATTTCCCCTTACCCTGCTAGCAAAGGTTTCTCTTAGCATGCATGTTTGAAGTTGTTTACACCGCTCAAAGCGAACCACCTCCTACAAACTAACAACCACAGCAGAAAGGAACCTCTGCTAGTTGGGGTTTATTTAAGTGACCCGTAATAGAGGGTCGTCACTTGATTCCATCTACCAAACTGACATCCTCCTCTCACAAGACATTTCACTTGTCTTATATGAAATTTCTTGATGAAATGTTCATAAAAGTCAAAGTGTCTTCAATTTTTAAGGGAAAAAAAACAATTTAGGATACAATGAGTAGGGTTCGAACTCGGAGCATCCGATCTGGAGTGCATCACTCTAACCCCCACACCATCGAGGATTTGGTGACAAATGCCAGTTTGATTTAAATATATAACCCTAACCCTAACCCTAAACCTAACCCTAACCTAAACCCTAACCCTAACCCTACTTTGTGTACGAATCATTAATGTGTCAACGTCAGTTTGGCGGATGGAAATAAGTGTTGACCGTAATAGAGGTTTGACTCCACAATATGAAACAAGATGGTGGGCGGGGGGGAAGGGGGTTGATGGGGGGCTGGGCATGGGGAAGAAGGATACAGATATTTTAACAATAATAAGGTTGAGCAAAATATCGTGATTTGTCAGTGGCAAGCAGATCAATTATTTGCCGAAGCTGAAGACTGAGGCAAGTAATTGATCTGCGAGACAGTGACAAATCACAATATTTTGCGATAACAGAGTTCAATAATTATTTTATCATTCGATCACCGAGTTTGTTTTTTCATGAATATCCACGGGAAGCAAAGCGATCTGCCATTTTTATGCAAGAGCAATTGCAAGAAGGAGAAAAGCGTGGTTTCTTTTATGCATGGGTAGAAAAAATATTTTGCAGCGAAACACGGTTGGACGAAGTTGCGCATGAGCAGGTCGCGTGATGGGCTCTCGGCCAATCGAAAGATAGAAAAATTTGCTTTGAATGATAATTCCTGTTACTATACACATTTGTTAAGTTATTTTCTTTTTGTTTTTTCTTATAGGATTAGAGTTGGCTTATTCTCAGTCTCCTCAACACATGAAGGGACTTGTGATGGGTGCTTTCCTGGTGACGAGTGGCCTTGGAAACTATGTCGCCACTCTCCTTGTTGTCATTGTTCGATCAGCTAGCAATAATAAGTGGTATCCAAGTGAGGATCCCAACAATGGAGAACTGGAAAATTTCTTTTTTCTGTTAGCTGGACTAATGATGCTGAACTTTGTGGTTTTTCTGTTCATTGCCTCCTCCTATAAATATAAGACTGCAACTCGCAGAGAAGAAATTAACTCAAATGTTAAGGATGTAGGCCAATCTTCTGATCGTGATGTGTAATTTTTACTGAGTTGCTTGTAAGTAGACTAAAATACAATTTGCACATCATTGAAGAGACATTACCTTTGGTTGCATCTAAGCGTGGACACAGACGACAATTGGGTGCCAGACATCACGTGTTTTGTCACCAAACATTTGAAGTTTGACAGCCGTTAAAGCCGTTTATCAGCGCGTTCGGCTCATCTTTTTTTTTCTTCTCAATTTTCAGTAATATTTCTCTCTCAGAAACAGCACACTTGCTTTTAAGAATTATTCTTTGGAGTTTTACAGAAATTCTTCTTATCATCTTGCGATGAATATTTTGTTGATCGAAAACAAATCAAGTCGACAACTAAGAACAGCTGCCTACTTTGCACCTGAACATTCGTCTAACGGCACCCCAAACTTCAACAGTTTGGCGGCAAAACATGTCATGTTTTCACCCAGTTAGAACATGTTTTTTCGTCACATGTAGCTGAGGTATTCTCTTGTGTAGTTAACAAAATTAATTTTAGATTACATCCTGTTTTTTGTGGAAGCTAATTTATGAAGCAGTAACTACATAACGTCGTCTTGACATGCAACTGTTCTTCAACTGTTGCGTCTTTCGATTTGTATTATTCGTGCCCTCTGTTTACAGCTTACTCATGCAGTAGCCTTTCCGTGTCAATCATTTTTGTTTCTGACACTGAATGGGACTTCTTTAAAAAAAACAGGGGTTGCGTTATTAAATTGCCTGTCACTACCCTTTGAGTCTTAAAAATAAATCATACAAGAAAATAGTCCACTTTCGAACGAAAAATTGCCGCTGAATACAAACATTAACATTTATACAGTGTGAGCCTCGACGTAAATTAAAATATTCAGAAATTCCGGCAAGGAAGTGTTTGAAATGTGAATATACAGAATATACACAATAGACAGAGTAGTAAACAGGTATTTTTCACGTTGGAATTCGTGAATATATTACTTCAGATGGAGGCTAAGCCTGTAAAAAATGCGTCTTCACTTCTTTAATTCAACGGTAATAGCGAACTCGAAACTGGACTATTTAATTTTGTAAAATGTTGAAAATCCATAAACGCTATTTGAAAGGTCTGCTTAAATTAGGTGTTACTGGAATGTTTACACCACAGGATTTTGTCCACAGACTCAAAAGTTTAATTCTACATAGTAAAAATACATGATACCATGTATGTGTACCAGCTGGTAAAGGGATTCATTCATTTGAATAGCAAGGACATCAGATGTCCGCAGACTGTAAGTCACTGGTTGAAAATGAATTAAGGTGGAGGTATGTTTTGACTAATTTATTGAGATATACATGGGACCTTTTTCTGTTTCTAAAATATTAAAAAAATAATTTTGTCATTATTAACAACATTTTTCAACATTATATTGGTTACAACATTTAAAAAATACATGATAAAAATTTAACGATATAGGTGCAATGCTTATTTGTAGACTCTTTTAGGCTTATGATTTTTAGTATAGAGTCAATTTTCCATTATACAGACCACCTAAGGGCAGTCCCAAATGTCTGCTTCACGTGATCATATATAACATAAAGGTAGAATATGTATAAAGTTTGGTATCTTTGTGACTGTCTATCACAGAGTTCCCTAACGAGCAGAGACTTCTTTTCCCTGGTATCTGGCAGGTGGGAACCTGGTATTCAGCACCTGCCGAATAGGGACCTTACGAAACTACGACGGCGGCGGCAACAGCAAAGTCAAAAAGCAATTGGTTTAGTTAGCAAAACAACAGCGCTGCACGTGCATCAAGCTTTTTGGTACATTTCTTTTCCGTCCCTGCACCACTACTACGTGAAATGACCAAAGTTTAAGGTTTTTTAGGACGGGAACGGCAAGGCGATAAATTCTACCATCTCTCTCTGAACTCGGGTGCGGCCCCCTCTCTTCAGCTCCAACATAAATTCCCTTTTTTTTTAAGTATTTGGGCGACTTGGGATAATCGCGAAACGGTTTGAAAGGATGCGGAGTCTATTTCTCAGCGAAGTTTTCATGGACGTCGCCGTTGTCGGATCGGTAAGGTCCCTTATACCTGAGAAGCCTCTACTCGCAGTGAAATAAAAGAATGGCATATATAAATAATGGTTTTTTATTGTACTGGGAGCTCTGTTTTAAAGTAATTTATGAGAGCGAAACCGTACAATTTGCAGAAAAAGAAGACAATATTACTGTATATAAGAAAGTGATTTGGATCCCAACGATGATATAACACGACTGTTTTAGTTTAGAGTAAGCTTTGAAATTTGATAGGTTTTATTAAAATGGCTGAAATACAAAGAGTAGTGTATTTTTAGTACGTTGGTTTGTTTGCTTGAATTAACAGTTCTCGAAAGAATGACCAAATTGATCTTAAATCCTTAAAAACGATGAAACATCGCTTTCATCCGGGACCGTATGATCCGACGACGGCAACGACAGGAACGCCACAACTGAAAGCCATAGGTTTAATACTTGTACTTTCAGTTTTGAGAGCTAGAGCAACCAAAACACGTTGTACAGAGGAAGTACACAAGCGACGACGAGATTTCCTCTCTCTTTCTGCACTTGGATATGGTTCTTAGGAATTCAGCTTTAGGATGGTTCGCCTACATTTGAAAAAGTTAGTGACTTGGAGTAATCGCGATGAAGATTGAAAGAACACGAATTCACTTTTTCAGCAAAGTTTCCTCTGCCGTCGCCTTCCTTGGATCTTAAGGTCCCCGATATCGCCGACTCAGGGACGGCACAAGAGGTTATAAACTGGAGGATATAATGCTTCTCTTCCCTATTACCTTGGTTTGCGAGAAGAACAATGTCCTGCATAAATGGGGTAAAGAGGAGAGGGCAGGCTCAGTCCATTGGTTACTTCGTTGCTGTGTTAGTTCAGTTAGTTCTGTGAAAGAAGCACATTGTTTCATACCATATCCGGGCACCGAGCAGAGGTTTGCCATGCAAAAAAATGTGTAAAGTTGGGGTGCAGTCGAGTTTTAAACACAGACCTTCAGATGTCTGGACATCGACTGAAACTCTAATTCCACGTTCACAACGCTTAAACATGTTTAAAAGCTGTTTGGTTAAACACAAAATTGTTTGCTAAGCTGCTTTCTGACTTACGTTAGTTGCAAATTTCGTGCAAATTATGAACCTTTGTGAATTTCATTTAAAATCTTGTGTTAAAACCTGTGTTCCAGTGTTCCGAGCCTATTTTTCATTTTTCTTTTAACCTGGATTAATTAGACATGTTAAGTTGGTGTGAATGGGGTATAAATAGTTGCACATTATCAATAACTCTTGAAGAGATTCGAAGCTAAAGTTCGCAAAATTTTATGGAAATTAGTAACCGATATACAAACTTCCTCCGAGGTGGTGATTTCCTTTGTTTCTTCATGAATGTTACACATGCAATGAGAGAACGAAAAATTATAATGTCATACACGATAAGTCACATGAGAAGTTGTATTTCTGTAATACCGTAAAATTCCGAAAATAATCCCCGGGGCTTATATTTTTCAAAGGCCCTTTCTTGGAGGGGCTTATATTCGGAGGGGCCAGTTGTCTACGGAGGGAAATTTGCATTTCAAAATCGATTGGGCTGGCCTTATAGTTGAAAGTAAATTTACCACTTTTGTTTTGTTTTACTTTGTATTTGAGGGCAATTTTCCAAGTACAAGCCCCCGGGGGGTTATATTTTGAGGGGCGATTTAACGGAGGGTTCTTTGCGTTACCGGTTTGGGGGGGCTTATATTTGGAGGGGCTTATTTTCGGAATTTTACGGTATCTAAAATATCTGAACACCGAGAACTACCCACGTGTTCCCAGGATCCTGACCTGCTAAAATTTTGACACGTGACCATCAAGAAAAATCCCAATTTTTCTGAGAAAATCCACTTTTGAGCATAAAAAAGCTAAATGTGACCATGAAATGCTAAACTGAGTGAAAAAGAAATCGGTAATGGAAATTCCAGCGTTTTTGATTACTGCGGGCTCACTCTCGTCTGGTTCCATGAAAGAAGAGAGATATGGCAACAGTTTTTTTATCTCAGGAGCGTAGCGTCCAAATGCGCACATACGCCCGTGCGTACAGGAGACTGGAATTTTTTTTTTTTCTGAAAGGATTTTTATCATCAAATAGGGATGACTCATAACTTTTCCCCGTTAAATTGCTATCTTTGTGACAGTATTTCCTTTATCCGTTTATTATTTCATAATAAACATAAACAATATATAGGGCAAGAAACGTTAATGCCCTTCCCTGCCCCCTAACTGCAAAGTTGCTTAATTTACACATTTACTAAAAATATCCTGCCGAAAACGCAGGAAATGGCATTTTAGGGACCCGAGGCCCCCTAGACCAGAGCGCCTTCGGCGCTTTAACTTTTCTAACTTTTTTTTTTAACTTTTCTTTTTAACTTGTATCTTGATGTCTAGTCTAGGAGTCCAGGTATCATTATTGCACTGTCTTTCAAGTTTTGTTTTCTGGCAAGCTTCTCACATATGGTCAAAATTTCTGGAACAAATTCAAAGCAAACGTTCTCAATAGTAAATAGTACAAACATTAACCACAAGGGACTGCAAAGGACCGCAAACGAATATGCCGAAGAACGTAGGATCTATAAAGACCTGATCAGCAAAAATAATGTTGTAGACATATTAAATTCTGCAAGTAGAATACTGCAATGCTGATCGTACTACGTGAAATTAACTCTGCAAGACATCAACACGACACCGAAAGAACTCAAAACAGAGCGGGATTGTAGCCATAGACAGCTGTTTCGCCCTCTTTGGGGCTCGTCAGTATGACGTAACAACCAGAGATCAGGCTCTGATTTTGCATGGTTTTATCCATGTTTTTTAGGTTGGTTTTGGCCAACTCTTTATTTTCTCTGCGAGACATCAACTTGACACTTGGACTCTTGCCCCCCAGAAGACACGTGGTATGACGTGATTCTGTGGGTGTTAGGAGTTCTGGGTCAGGGCTAAAATCAGAATGCGCGGATAATTTTTCATCATAGCCTGATCTCTGGTTGTTACGCCATACTGACGAGCCCCAAAGAGGGCGAAACAGCTGTCTATGGCTACAATCCCGCTCTGTTTTGAGTTCTTTCAATGTCGTGTTGATGTCTTGCAGAGTTAATTTTCACGTAGTACGATCAGCGTTGCAGTATTCTGCTAGCAGAATTCAATATGTCCACAGTAAATAGTAGATCACATTTTCAGACGTCCTTTTTCAGATAACGAGTTTAAAAGTAACTGCGTCTTTGTTTTGGTACTGGTGCAAGAGAGACCTGTCCCCCTTTCTTACTCCCTTTAGGAAAATTTGGTACCGTTTGAGTCTTGGGGGATTACTGGGATTACTCCGACTGTACGAGTGCCTCCCCCTAACTAGCCTGCGTAGCATGGCGGTTTTGTCGAGCCGGGCGCAGGAGCGGCGTAGCCACGAAAAATTCGCGCGCGAAGCGCGCGAGAACGGCTCGCGGTTTCTCTGCCCTCGCCCGCCTTTATTACTTAGTTCGCCCAACCAAAACCGCCATGCTACGCAGGCTACCCCCTAACAAACATCGCTTGATGGAGGGGCGGAGTTAGAGGCAGGGTGCAGGGGGTGCGCACCACACCCACCCACCTGACCTGAGATGAGCTGCGGCTTTCTAAAACAACTGGTATTCTGCAAAAAAGCTCTGTGGGTCAGTTACGCCATTAGAGGTGTACCCCCTCCTATGAAAAATCCTGGATCCGCCCCTGTGAGGTGATATCAAACACGGCGAGGCTATAGCGTGACCCGGATAGCATCGAGTGACTACAGATATCATGTGACTTGGATAACGAATTTGACCCCAAAACACGATTTAGTTTTTCTCCTCCTTGGCTGGGAGAGAAACTGAAAATGGAGTTTGCCCACATGATCGCCTATTGCCTTGCTTTGCTGGTGACTCACAGTAAGTTTTGATGAATGTTATTTACAGGGTAGCTGGATTAGTTGATAAAATAATGAAGTAATCAGTACATGAAACCCTTATAGCTATTTAATTTTTAAATCGTATTTTGTTACTGCTTGTTATCACAATGGAGTTAATCGGACATTTTGGTAGTCAAAATGCTTTAACTATTGTTCATAACCAGAAACTCATAAGGGATTTCTCATTCTGTCATAACTTGAAAGACTAACCTTAATATCGCAAATCATCCTAAACAGTGAGAGACACGATATGACTTGTATATACTAATTGTTTTGTCTCAGGGGACACGTCGATCATATCTTTTGACGGTACTGCCACAATCATTTTCAAACATGAAATCCTGGAGTTTGCTTCTGGACTAATAAAACTCCAGTTTTGTTTTAAGTCATATTTGCAATTTTCTTTTCATGAACCCAGAGGCGCTTCTTATCGGTCACTAACTTTATGCAGAGAGAGGGCGGGGCGGCAAGATTATTGTTACAAGGGGTTTATAAAACCTCTCGTTGAGCAAGATCAGTGAGGTTCTTTAAAGCCACCTACTTGAAGTGCTCCCCGGTAGGTCAATCTCGCTCCCGTATAAAACAGCACTTGAGAAATAGCTGCTTCTCTTCTTTATCAGTTATTATTATCATTATTGTTATTATTATTAATGAGTAGAAATTACAGATGTGTGAGATTTGTAAATCTGTTCATGAGTTCCCTTGGCGTTTTCTCCGATGAATGCTCCACGTTCTTAGACATGATGAATGACATTGGCATTGACAAAAAGCAGCAACTTTATATAATCAAGAAAATGATAAATATAGCCATTACAGCAACATATTACATCTTTTGTTGTAGAAATAAAAATTGGGATAGCCAGACTTAATGCAATTTTGATTTCTTTTCTTTTCTTTTTTTCTTTTTTCTTTTGGTTTGTTTTAATCATCCAATCTCAAGCAGCATATGTAAATTGCTTATACGTAGCGAGATTTACAATTGTACATTCAAAAACACAAATAAAGTTTCCATTATTATTATTATTATTACTATTATCTATTTATTTATTTTTATTTATTTTTTATTTTTAATGTATTCTCTTATCTGGCTCTACTTTGTAGTTGGCGCACCGTATAAGTGAATGCTCCCAAAAACGAATTCTGAGCGGGATGTACAGCATTATAGTAACAAAGGGACCGGCTTCAAATATTTGAAGCGAGATCAGCACCTCAAAGAAAAGAATTTAAAGTCACCAATTGTTTTGATTTTGTTTTAGGATTTTGCTTCGCCTCGAAAATCTGGTACGTTTCTAAAACACAAGGAAGCCGGACAAAAGATTGTAATTCTCCTGAGAATTCTTGTAAATCCTTAGCAGATGTGTTTTCTCTGGTGGACTGGGGCGACACTATATACCTTGACGGAACCAATACAAAGGAAAACCCCTACGAATGCTTGACTGTGACGTCACCACAGTTGCGTACCACCTTGAATATCAGCATATCTTTTATTGGTCAAAATGCGCCTGCGTACTTGTCTTGTCCCAATGGAATTTCCTTCACTGGAGGACAAGTTCAGGTGCATTTCTCTGGCTTGGTATTCTACTCAACACCGATGTCGTTTTATCTTTGCTCTATTTACATCCAAAAGAGTGTGTTTAAAAATCCCTTGCTGGGGATGGCCCTTCTTAAGTTTTACTCAGTTGGAAATTTAACAATATCTCAGAGCGTTTTTCAAGAAAACGCTATAATTTCGGTTGATGATGGACATTTCGTCTTGTTAAGCGACAGCCGCCTTCAAAATAATACGGAAATGGCTGCAACAATAATCCCTTCTCAAAAGGGAAAAGTTAAAGTAGATCACTGCGAATTTATTAACAGTCAGGGTGGTTTGAAAATCACTTCAGTCAGGAACTCCTCAGTGTTTCTGTCAAACACTATTTTTTCTAAGCACACCGTGAAACCGTCGTTTGTTTTAGAACTTGAATCAACTTCTGAAGCTGTGATACAAAACGTGACCATCGAAAAAAGTTTGATAGTTAGTGACAATTCTCGAAAATCCGCCGCTGTTTATATCGCTTTAAGTGAAGAGGGCAATAACACCGTGAATATTACTGACTCGGCATTCAAAGAAAACACCTTTAACGCCGGAGGAGTGGGAGCTATGATCATTGACAATGGACCCGACCTTATGAAGTCAAAAGGCTGCAAAAATTTTTTGTTTAATGACAGCACCGAAGCTTACTCCGTTTTCAGTTACACAAATCGAGTACTCGTCACAAATTGTGCCTTTAACCGAAACTTTGGGAAGTACGCGGGAGCGCTGTTGATATTCAACGGCTTGACAAGACTTACAAACTGCACCTTCACGGATAATTTTGCAGAATTTCGCGCGGGACACATCAGTATCGGTGAGGGCTCCGGCGGAGCGGAGATTTACAACTGCACACTTCGACAAAAGGAAGGGAAGACGACTTTTTTATCTTACGAAAGTAACAATACTGTATCCTTCTTGTACAGCGGCACTTTAGGGACTCTGGTTATGAAAGACACGGTAATGGATTTTACACCCTTTCTACATGAACAGGTTCTGGTAGAAATTGTCAACGGCGGGCACGTGGCCATTGAAAACACTTCGTCAATTCTTTGTCCTGTGGGAAACAGAATATCGGTAGACAATTACTCGCATGGACTCGTCACCAGATCCACAGGGTCCGCGGCCAGCTGCGCGTTGGAAGTTAAAATGTACGGCATCTATTGTGAACGTTGTCCGGATGGTTTTTACAGCTTACAGCGTGGTGTAGCATACGGTACTCGAGTGAAGGATGATATCAAATGCCTTCCTTGTCCCTTTGGAGCAGACTGCTCGCGAAATGTTGAAAGTGAGAAAAACTTTTGGGGATCTTTAGTGAAACAAAATCCTCCAACATTACACTTTTACATGTGTCCTCCTGGTTATTGTGAACCGCCAAAGGATTCGAGTCTCTTGACTTACAATGGTTGTCATGGTCACCGCTCTGGTGTTCTTTGCGGAGCATGCGCTGTGGGATATAGCGAGACACTTTTCTCCTCGGAGTGTGCGCTCAATGAAGATTGTGGTGACATATGGTTCTGGCCAGTGGCGATTCTCTACATTCTGTTAATGGCCATTTATTTCGTAAAGAAACCTCCTATTGTGCCTTTTTTAACATCACAAATCTTGTGGTTTAGGAAGACCAAAACGGAAGAAAGTTCGAAAGAGAAAACTTCAGATAGTAGGGAGAATAAAGTAAGCGATGCAGCGTCTACAGATAAAGGTTATCAAAAAGTCGTATTTTATTTTTATCAAGCCTCAAGTCTGCTCTTTGGAGGTACCACCAGAGAATCAAATATAGTCCCATTTCTTTTGGCTAGTTTTAATTTCCAGGTTCCTACATCTCCAAGCGGCCTGGGTTGTCCTTTTCCTGGTCTAACAGTCGTCACAAAAGAGCTTTTTATAATGTCCGGGTTTTTTATTCTCCTTCTGAGTGTTTTCTTGATTCACGGTTTTCAGCGGGTAGTGTCCAGGCTGCGACGCCGGTGTTGTCCATCCCTCGCATCTCATTTATCCGCAGTCGCGGAAGTGGTTCTCCTTGGATACGCCTCCTTGACAACCAGCTTGTTAAAGCTCCTCACGGTGCAGCGGATAGAGCCTGGAGATGAACTTCGTTTGTTTTATGATGGTAACATTGTTCTATTCACGTGGTGGCAGTATATCTTGCTTGCTTTCGTCACTGCTTTTGTCATACCATATGTAGGACTTCTGTACTGGGGTGCCAATAAGTTGAATGTCAAATGCATCACGGCTCGAGAGTTTCTTTTTGCGTCCTTCTTCCCTCTTCCTTTCCTCCTCTATTGGGCTATCTTTAGAAGGAAGCAAATTTGTGACAACACCGAAAGCCAGGAGCAGAATAAAGAACGCGCAGCAGTAATGAGAGTTCTTTACGGTCCATTTCGACAGCCAGGCGATGGACAGAGAGGAAGCCTTCATTGGGAGAGCGTCCTGATCAGCCGCCGCCTAATCCTCATTCTGTTGTTTACTTTCATCGGTGATGCAAGTATTCGGCTTATGCTGTCTACAGTGGTTTGTCTCTTTGTGGCCCTTCATCATATCCTGTGGAATCCTTACAAGGACAGCAAAGCCAACAAATTAGAAACGGTATCGCTAATAACTCTTGTGATCTTTGGCTTGTTTAACACTGTACACGCTACCTTCATAACATCAGGGGTTCGTCACCGGGGTCCAATTAAAACGTACATTGACGCGTTAAACTGGATCCAAGTATCAATATTACTGGTTATACCGGTGGTACTAATAATCGCTGTCATTTTTGCCATCGTTTCTCAGTTTGGTCGCTTGGTGTATGTATCAGCAATACTCTTTTGCCAAATGTTTCAATCCAGAAAAGGAGGGAGATCAAAGAGAAATTCTTTAGAAAGGAACAATAGGGAGTCGCTGTTTCCTGATGCTGAAGTGATCGAGCAGCCCAACAAAGATTTTGTCCACGAAATGATTGAGGGAAGTCCTTTATCAAGCTCTGAAGAAATTTGTCATAAGGAACCTGGACTGATTAAAGAACATTGTCCTGCCATTGAGGACTTCGTTTTGAGGTAGTCAATTCGTTCCGGTTGGTACAAACTAAACCGGATATTGCCAACCATTTACTAATTTTTCGGGCCCAGACACACCAATTGCACACTAGCTACTTTATTCAGACAACGGAAGAGACTATTCTGCGTAAAGTGGTAAACCACTTAACGTGATGCTTTGGACGCTAGGCACCAACTGCGTTTTTCTGTAATGGGTTAGCACACCTAGCTGGTCATTACCATTTTACAGTCGTGCCAAGAGAAATTGAGGACAATACTTATGCAAAATTTTTGGGGGTAAGCAAGGTGTATTATGGGAGATGCGTAACAGGCGCTCCATGAGCCAAGCTAGGCAAACGCGGGAGAATGTGTGGAGCGTATTCACATGACGTCACGCCCGCAATATTGGTGAACCAGTGTAATTCCAAACCAGTCATGAGCCGGAGTTAAACCTTGTTCTTTTGCAGAAACTTTCTTTTGTTCCAATAATATTTGCAAAGTTGCTGACCGTCGTGTGAAATGACGGCAAAGAGGCACGATCTTCATTTCAACACGTACATTTTGCGAATCAACAAGTGCGCACAGCGATATATTGTTACTTGGTACTTGAGATTGTAAATAAATAGTCCAGGACCAGCAATCACTTTATGATAGACCTTTTTTAGCTAGTACGATTTGTTTTCCCAATTCAGACCATGTGATGTTCCCAAGGCAATGTGCCTTTTGTCTTTTCATGAATTATGCATACATACTCAAGTGGATGCACGTGTATCTGACGATGCTTAATAGAAACGGGCGATCCCGCACCTAATTGAAAGATTGTTTGTGATTAGCTGGGAAAACAATCGGGATTGTCACATAACAATGCCCCTATCCCTGAAAACAATGGAGGTGAAGATTAAAGGGCACCAATAAAATAAGAGGTTTAGAACGGTGCAGGTCTACTGAAAGAAACAGAGTTCTCTGAGATACCATCACGTGGTCTGCAATGGGAAAACAAAACATACAAGCCAAAAAGGTCTATTATAAGGGAAAAGTCAGAACAAAATTCAAGTCCCCAGTTATTCAAAAGCTTGATAATAATCTCGTTACTCAGCGAAGATATCTTTAGAGATTTGACGGTGAACAGCGTCATTCACTTTTCCACAAACGGGGCCAGGACCATTGAGGAGTTCAACTGATGACCGGCCCGTAAGAAACCAGAAAAAAGGCGTGTTCTGGTATGAATCACCTCAACAATTTGGAGATAAACAACGCACAACGAAGCGAAGATTCAGAATTGTAATTTCACAAGCATGTGTGCCCTAAGTTTAATTACCTCCTTCACTAAAATTCTTCTTAGTAAATACGTTTCAATTCCAACCCTGATCAGCAAGATTCACTGAAATAATTACAAAATTTTACATCCCTAAATAAAGATCACACAACTTAATTCGCTCCTATGACCATAATGAACTTAAAACTTAGCATGTTAACACACACTCTTTTTTCTCTTGGGAGATCGTCGAGAGTGTGTATGAAAGTAAAAATCGAGGGAGAATTAATGACCGCTAGCCTAAAATTCGTCGGAAAAAAGGAAAGAAAAAAAGTCTGTGGACAGAATATTAACCAACAAACATCCACAATTAAGCAGCCATAAACTGATATCCAACAGAACTGTCAAATTTGTAAGGCGGGCTGATTTCTTTCTACTTCTTTTTCTTGATAATGAATAATTTGACCAAAACATGAGATCCCTTGACTAAAACTAGTGAGGAATTATCCCTGCAATGATGAGAGGCTGGCGAGGCTGAAATTCAGCTGCCCTCAAGACCGGTTAAACCTGGTCTACATCATATCCAGTCATTCTATAATTCATAAATAATTGGGGCTAGGAGAGACAGCCAAATTGAAAATCAACCTAGGTTGAAAAATTTTAACCTGAATATAATTTTGACCTGTAACATATACATTGTTAAGTTCGCTCTGAGTAAGAGTTCACAATAAAAGCAAAGCAGTTTCCCCCCCCCCTGATCGGGTGCGAACTAATCTGGCACTTAACACAATCTATGTAACTATAATTACTACTTGCCAGGCTGTATGCACGACCTAAGTTAAGTTGATTTGTCATACGTTTGTTTCATCTACCTACTATTCATTACGGCAGTACAGTGAAACCCCGCCTTGCAGCCACCTCGTTATTACGGCCACTTTACTTGGTCGCCTGGCAAAACGGCCAAACCTTTTTTTGTAAAAAAAAGCCCTTGTTAATACGGTCACCCGTTAATACGGCCAATTTTTTTACCCATTGGTGACCGAATTATCGGGGTTCCACTGTTGTTGTTAATCGAGAAAACGTTAACACAGCAAAATTCATTAATCTGAATGGCCATCAGAAGCCCTGATCCCAGCATTTATAGAATACCGCAAAATTCCGAAAATAGGCCCTCCATGTATAAGCCCCTCCAAATATAAGCCCCCCGAACCTGTACCGCAAAAAAACCTCCGTTAAATCGCCCCTCCGAGTTCGAGCCCCCCGCGGGGTCTTGTACTTGGAAGTTGCCCTCGAATATAAAGTAAAAAAAGCAAAAACGGTAAATATCCTTCCAACTATAAGCTATAGCCCAATCGATTTTTAAACTCAAACTTCCCTCCGTACATATGCCCCTCTAAATATAAGCCCCTCATAAAGAGCCTTTGAAAAATATAAGCCCCAGGGCTTATTTTCGGAATTTTACGGTATTAATTTAGTTGGACAGCACGCGTCATGTCGTCCCATGTAAGGTAATCTAAGAGAGTCTTGGATCCATTCCGGAATGTGGATTACCTTACACGGGGGAAGTCATGCCTAAGGAATAAGACAGTGCGCGTTTTTTTAATAATCACTAATCGGTATAGAACTTCGTGTCTTTCAATTCAGGTGGTAATCATGCTCGTGATTAAACAGATTGGACTCGCGCTACGCGATTTTCATAACGGTTAAAGCTAATGTTCTTATTCAGTTAAGGTCTTAAGACGTCTCTTCAGCTAGAGATGAATGGCTTCAACAGCTGTTGAAGTAAGGATATCAGCGCATCTTTGCGAGTCAAGCTACAGGATGACACACTGAAAAACAAAAACAAACGAAGGTTGTGTTAGAATCACATTTAACCCTTCAAGAAATAACGTAAAATTCCGAAAATAAGCCCCACCATGTATAAGCCCCTCCGATTATAAGCCCCCCCCCCCAAACCGGTAACGCAAAAAAACCCTCCGTTAAATCGCTCCTTCAAATATAAGCCCCCTGAGGGCTTGTACTTGGAAATTGCCCTCAAAAACAAAGCAAAGCAAAGACGGTAAAAAAACAAAGCAAAAACGGTAAATTTCCTTCCAAATATAAGGCTAGCCAAATCGATTTTGAAACCGGAGCTTATTTTCGGAATTTTACGGTACCACGAGACAAATGGACGCCCTCAGCATAGAGTACCACTTTAGGCTCTAAAAATGTAGCTTGCGTTGCTGGAGCAAAATGGGACTGGGGCCCAGAGCCCAGTGCAGTGGTGGATAGGATATTATAAGGGGATGGAGGAGAGACAATATATGCTTCCACCTCCCCTCTCCCTTTTATGCCCAAATACATATGTATTGCACAGGCTGTCCAAAGAAGTGTAAGCTGCAAGCAGGCTCACTTGCGAGAGTTCGAGGAAAATCTTGGCGGCCAGCAGGGGAGGAAAAGTGAGATCCACATATACATTCTTGATTTTCTGAATGATATCCAACTCTTCCTTAAAGAATTAGGTAAGAGAATTTGGTGAATCATCGAGGGATTTCCTTCTGGGGATCAATTCTCATAACCTTTCCTCTCTGTTAGGAGAAAATTTATGTTTATAGTCATTTAATGAAGTCTCCCTCGTTAAGCAAAAGTTGAGAAGAGTCTTTGAATTGGGGCCTTGAAAACCTGACACGTATGAGACATTGCGGGAAAACGGAAGGTGAATTTTGGTGCAGAACGTTGAAAGTGTGATCTGAGTCATATTACAAAATATGCAGAAGCAATCTAGCAAGTGTGAGATCAAGATAGGTGGATATTGGCCAAATTATTTTTTGTGTTTTTATGGAATGAGACAAACTCTAGGTCAGAAGACAGGATCTGCTTGATCTTGCCAGCTCATGGATTCAGCCATATAATAATATTTCATGTATGGCCTTTTAAACCAATTGACTTACACTGGATTCTGTCCTCTGCTGACCGTTCCTCTGTTGTACCTGAGCTTGTGAAGCAGTATTAGTGGATCTTGTGGGAGATGGGCGAACCTGTTGAGGTCGTCTTTGTTGTTGCTGTTGTTGTCTTTCCTCTTCTTGCTGAAGCTGAATTGCTAACTGAAGGCTGAACAATAAAATAGAATAGCCCAATACACGGCAATAGATTATTATCCTTTGTACTTTGTACTTTGTTTACTTAAACAAGCCTGCCCCCTTCGCAGAAAAGTACAAAAATGTGCATAAATTGCATAAATAAGGAGACATCACATCACACCATTCATGCCAGCCTTTCATAGACGCAATCTCTCTCCATTTTTCCTTTGTCAGGGGGGAGGGTGCGGCTACACGTAGGCTAGGTGTAGGTGGTATGATTCAATATACTTTTCACATGAAGCTATCGCTAAACTCTTCAAGTTACTCTCACTTGGAAACGTTTGCAATGGGTGTGGCTTGGTCACCATCCACTGCCCTTTTCAGTGGTACATGTAGAGCCCTTCCACATTTGGCAAGGATTTTTTGGAATGAGTAACAAGCTTCAACAAACATCAACCCTAAAATTTACTGACTGTACACAGAAGTTCGCAACTTAAAGCCAACAAGTTTGTTTACTTACTCAGACCATTCTTGATTAGTCTGGGCACTCTGCTGGGTAGGTGCCTGGTTAGGTAGGGGCTGAGGAACATCTGGACCTCCAGGGTATACATGTGTTTGAGGTCCTCTGGTGGTTTCATCCTGCTCTTCTTGAAGACTTAATGCTACAAGGTAACTGTTAAGGAACAAGTTACTTTTGAATGGTTTTGTAATGCCACACAAAAGTGGAGTTAAAAAACCCCTTACAATGGGAATCAGAAGATGAAGAAACTGATACATGTCTTAATTCAGGGGCACCCAACAAGAATATAGTTCAAAACCACATAAACATAGCATTGTTGAACATATTTTAGTATATAAAAGGTAGACATAGGCATATTTTTATCCCCTAAACATTTTTCATCTGTTCGGATTTCCTAGCTGAAAGTCTAGTGATCCGAAAATTATAGGGATCAATACCAGTACTTACCTTTTTGAAAATTTCAGCCAGAAAAAAGCTCCCAAAAATTCTAGGTGACCTTTTTAGGGTAAAAATCCATTAAAAATGGGCAATTATACCATTTTTTAGATGTTCAAAAATCCTAGGAGAGGCAGGCAAGCAAGAAATTTTACAACAAATGTTCCAAAAATTATGGTTCTCAAATCGTCTTCCAAACAGATATTTTCCAAAAATTGACGTTGGGTGGCCCTGTTAATCGGTGAAAACAATGCAATAAAGTATAATGTCTACTTTCAGTTGTTATCATTAGTCAAGTCTATTTAATTATAAGTACTCTCTTGAAATAATGCAAACATTAAGGTTTTTTTTCTCTAACTAATACATGGATTAAGTTCATGACATCATGCAATGACATATATTAAAATTTTCTCATTGACAAATTAACTGCAATGTGCTATTTTAGCTTTCTATTTATAATTTAAATTAATAACATAGCGTAGATTATCCTACTCTTGATCCTCTTGTGATAGTTGCTGGGCAAGAGGTGCTTTGGGAGGTTGAGGTGGGCTGTGTACAGCAGGAAGGGTTCTAAACTCGGCATCTACAAAATAGCTGTCACCATCAACACTACTTAATGATTCCCAAATGACTCGGTCTTCTGTGAGGAATCCCTGATCTGTGACCAGCAAAAAAAGCTCATCCTAAAAGCAAAGTGAAAATAAATGCCATATGGTTGAATTCCTTTCTTTACACAGGGTGCAACTGAGAGAGAAAAAATAGAGGACTAGGAATATGAGCTAGACGAAAACAGAAGACTTTAATATTTTGTTTGAGGTGATTGTCATAAATCAAAATTCTATAAAGATCAACATAAATTCCAAGTTTCATTTTAAACATGATAGTACTAAAGAACTACTGATTAGTCCTGTGAAGAGCACTAGTTTATTAAATTACATTACTTTAGCTGCACCAAAGGACCAAAGGTTTCTCCAAAATTACAGAAATTACAAAAATTACCAGTGTTAGACCGTCAATTCTTTTCTTAATTTTACGCATGAGTATTTGGCTAATTTACCAAAAAAAAAAAATGTTGCAACATTAAAAGTTGTTCACAAGTAAATTATAGGTTTTTGAAAATTCAGTAAAATGCACAGCTTAACCAAACACTGAATTTGACCTTCCTCATGTTCTCTTAGTCCATAAGTTACTTAAAGCTACATGGAACATTTTATCAAAGTGAGAGCTTTTCATTCAATTTGATATTATAATTTAAAAATATGACCAGGTCTCATCAGCAAAAATATAAAAGAATATTAAACAGATCAATTTAAAAAGGTATTTATTTTTGTCTAACCTTGTGCTTATAAAAGGTGCTGAAGTGGTTATTCCTAAAGAAGACACAAAGTTGATCATCTTGTAATCGTGAGTTCAACTCACACAACCCATGGTATGTCAGCTGACTGGCTGTTTGCTCAAGGAAAGCTTCACTGATCAAACCTGCAAATTAATAGAGTGTGGTCATTAAATCTCGGAGTTAAAAGCTACCAGTAATTTCATCTTGTAAATACACACCTCAGAGAATGTACATGTAACAGACCTGCCCCTGTCTCTGTTGCTGCCCTCAAGTATATGCCTTGACCAAGCATGAGGTCATGATGGCTGGAAATTAAATGTCCTTTTTTGCAATTTATGGAGTGAAATGAAGAAAAGGTTGATAAAAATGCAAACAAAATGAGGGAAGCTAATATTGAGCTATGTTGACCAAACAATCTTGGTCAATGGAGAAAATGACCAAGATCACTTTTTGTTGTCATGGGACCAATAAGGAAAAATGAGCGAGAAAGATAGGCCCATATTATGATAGCCTGCAAATACACCCGTTTCTCCTCGCTCTTCGTAGCTGGGGACGTTTTGAGTGGAGGAACATATCTGCGACTCAGCGGCAGAAATTCCATACTGATGGCGCAAGTCAATGTTTACATAATAAATATGGTAGTCATGGGGTTCCAAATATGAATTTGTCCAATTTTATGAGTCTTCTGGTCGACTTTGGTAAAGTGTTGTGTTCACCTGCCAACGAGCTCCAGCAAAACTCAAATACTTCTTCTAGAGAAGACTATATTCCACAAATATTGACTTTTTTGTTACAGATTCTTCACATTTACATTTGACCATTGTGGCCTTTTGTCTTTTGTCTGTTAAGACTGTCATTCGTAAACAATACCTAAAACAATGTAACTACTCCGTCGACCAATCAGCCCTTCTGACCAGATTCTGGACAGATTTTACATCATCGGTATGGAATTTCTGCCGCTGAGTTGCAGACGTTCCTCGGCGCGAAACATGCCTGGCAGCGAAGAGCGAGGAGAAATGGATGTTTTCGCAGGTTAATATTATCATCTCCTAAGATAGCAATCAAAACACAGATTCTGCTTGATATTGCCCACTCATGGAACCAGCCACCTGTGATCTTGTTAAAAAGCATCAAACAAGCACTGCCTCAGGTGTAATAAGACAGTATTGATCAAGGGATCGACTATAAACTTTTAGTGTGATGACCTCATTTTTTGTTATCGTTATTATTATTTTTTACCTTCAGACACTAACTGGGTTTCTGCTCCATCTTGTTTGCTTGCGATTATCTTCTCCACCAGCTGATTATAACTCAGACTGCCAATAGCAGATGCTATTTCAGTGTTCTGTGGATCAACAAGCCAGCCGTGGTACAAACCAATGGAAAGAAGATCAAACACTATACATTCTGGGGTGAACTCAAAGTCTGACACCCTACAAGCAACGACATCTTTAATAAAAATGTGAAAACTCTATTATATACATGTAAATATGTGACCCTTGGGCAGGGGTCTTGAGGTCAAAACTGAAACCTACCTGGCTAAGTTATCAAGGCCATTACTTTATTTTGGCCAGAAAGTGCCCGTCCTGCATGACTATGACATGCAAAAGACCTAATGTCACATTTTATGGAGGAGACATGAAAACAAGCCACAACTCAACGTGAGAAAATTTTCTTTCCTTTTCACAAGTTGGATATGGTTCTTCTAGGAATTCAACTACAGGAGAGTTTGCCTACATTTGACAAAGTAAGTGAGTTATCTAGAATAATAGTGATAAAGATTGAAAGACCACAAATTCTCCTTTAAAGTGAAATTTTTGCTGCTGTCACTATCCTTGGATCATTTAGGTCCCTACTTTCACCTTCAGTAAAATGTAATGATCACCTTACAAGAAAAGTTGGTGGTTCCAGACCATGTCATTCATGAACACTAAATGTTTTTACTGATATACACACTCTACAACATTAAAAAGTTTACCTACCCAGTAAATTTTACATTAACATCTAATCCTGTTTGTAACTTGTTCATTATTGCAATGGCATCATGCATGTTTTGCTCATAATTTAGTTGTGCCCCCTCTGACAATTGCTAAGATAAACAAAAAGAAAATAACTTTGATTTTTGAGATTTCAACTGGTTAACAATGAAAACTGTCAGAATATCAAGTAAGTCTTTTTTTTAACAAAAACGGTTTAATTCATTTAATTACAAAGATAACATATTCAGCACATTGCCAGCTTAGACATCAATGCAACACTGAAAATTCTTAAAAGTAGATTTGTTACTGAAATTCAAATTAAATTTGAATTTTCACACAAATTTTGTGTGTTTCAAGTACACATACATACATACTTTATTGACTTTCCCAAGGGGCTTTACACTTCACATACACATGAATAACTGCTAGATGTGTTTTGCAGAGATAAGATCCAGCCTCTAGAGATCTAGAAAATATTGCTGTTCCTTTTGCAGTATCCGCCTCCCTGCCAACATCAACCACTGTCCCCCTTCCCCATAAGGGCAAATGACCCAGTCCCCAAATTGTAACATGGGTTAAGACATTCTAGTCTTTCATGAAGTGAAGGGTGCCAAAACTCACTTTTACGACAACATTAAAATAGTTTTGTCAGTGATGAACGATATTGTGTGCAAAAATGCCATGGATAAGCATACTATGATCAAAAACATTTTTGAATTTTGGGAAGCAACTGGGCTGAATTTCTTAAAGGTCAGTACACACTAGGCAACAAGTTGCAGCAACATGTCATGGCGACAAATCGCGTCGTGTGTACTAAAGAATTTTTGTGAAAATCTTTGCCTCAGCAACAGAATTTTGACACTTCAACAAGTTGCACAAAATCAAATAAGACAGAATTTGTGCAACTTGTTGTGGCAACAAAAATTTTGTTGCAGAAACAAAGATTTCCTTAAAAATTCCTGCATTCACAGGGTGCAAAGAAAATCATTTTTACAGCTTGTCACTCGGGCAAGCTGAAGCTAGCATTTACTAGCCCAGACGTCATTTCAACTAGCCCCAAAAACTTTTTGTTCTTCTGTTATTCAAATTCCTCATAAAACATCACTTGCCCGTCGGGCAAGTTAAAAACAGAATTCACTAGCCCGATAGCAAAATCCACTAGCCCTGGGCTATCGGACACTACTTTCTTTGCACGCAGATTCACACCAATCAATTTGTTGCTGCACGACATGTCGAGCAACTTATTGCCCGAACCGTACACACGGTGTGATTTGTTGCCCTGACATGTCACCTGGTGTGTCCCGACCTTAACAAAAGCACAGAAAAGCTCAAAATTCAATCTTATCTAGAAGATTTGATGATCTGTACAGGAGCCCGGGAGAAGTTGGAATCAACGGATCGGGGATATAGTCAACTTATTATTATATATGTTTTCTCATAATAACAATACAACCCATCAGCAAACAACATGATTCATAATATTTTGGAAATTAAGTGGTTATACATACTTTGGGTGATTCTTCTAAGATGCAGTCTCCTATGTACTCCATAAGCTGTCCTGATGTTACAATCTCTTGTGGTGAGGGTATCCTGATTCGTCTCTGCAACAACAAAACATTCACAATAGCCAGCAGAGGACACGGACCATTTTCATTCTGTGTTATAATCGGAGTGTTTATTCCTTTCCATTTAATCCACTTGATGTGATAAAGTGACTCAAGAGCCTGTTGTGAGGATTCAGTTACTAATTCAGCATTTCCCTTGACTCCAGCTACATCCTCCACTACAATTTCAGTTGGTTGTGAAGTGGGTTCTTGTTCATTCATTGTACCATCTTCACTTTGAGATAACCTTTCGCCTTTTGGAAGTGAATCAATATCTAATTCTTCGCTAGCTGACGGTACCTCGTTATTTTCTTGAGTTGTGTCTTCCTCTGTCCCAGAATCATCATCTGTTTTTGCAGTTCTTTCAATTTGGTCCTCAACCTGACCAGGCTTTTCCACAGACTGGTCTTTTTCATCATGCTCCTCTGAATCACCGTTAGCGTCATCTACAGGCGGATCATTTTGCTTATTTAACCCTGCAGTTGTATTTTCGTCGCTTGCGTTCACGTCGACGGTCTGATTCTCCAATGTTTCCGATGAGCTGTCACAGATCTCTCCTTCACCACCTTGTGTCTCCGTTTCGTCGAGTGTTACTGATCTTATCGTGCTAACAGAGATATTATTTAAAAATTCATCAGGACTTGCCACTACATTTTCAGTTTGTTCCATTTCGAACACTTATCCACTATTCAGCAATATTAGCTTACAAAAATTACCGAACGAGGAAAAACGCGTCAATGGTTTTCAAGCCTCCTTTTCGGCGAACGTATCTTGTTCATACGTGGACTCCCATGAAGTTAGTACGCCTCTCGCTTTTATGCATTTTCTTGATGATCTCCTCGAAATTTGCAAAATATATGATGCTTGCAGTGGCGGCTATAATTAAATGTTCATTGACTTGTCCAAAGCCTTGTTATGATGCATGCACTTGAGCCTGCTTGAACTGATTTACCAGTTAAATTTTATCCCCATCAGAAAAGAATGAGCAGGAAATATGAGGCAAATAACTTTGTCACACAATTTGGATAAATACCTCCAAATTTAACATGATTTGGGTCAAAAATGAATAATTTACAAAGTGAATAATGCTGACAAAACGGCTTCAAATTGATCCTCCATAATTAGAATGCATACCGCAAGCCCTTGCGGGTTTTGAGATGTTGTATGTAAATTTACACGAAATGTCCAGCGAACCATCTCTAGGGTGAATGTTTTTGCGAATTATAATTCCAGCTGAAAATTTGCATCTCAAGTGAATATTTATGAATCTGAAAACGCTTAAGTCAGGACAATATATTTTGCAAACAAGCTACTTTAGTGGTATTTGCTGGCGGGACATCAACTTTGGTCACTTTTGCAGTTGGCAATGGAATGATTTTCTTGGCGGGAAACGAAATGGATTTGTGATTTGTGAGGGAATCAAAAGTCACCGAACGTGGAAACGGAACAGTTTTGTTTAGCAACGAAAGAATCCTACCGTTGAATTACGTTAGCTGAGTTATTACGTATTCCGTTTAATCAGGAAGACTGCCATTTGCTCTTTTGGAAGATGTCTTGGAATTATTTTAACATCTTGTGTTTTCGCTCGGTGGTTGTTTGTTATTTTCTTTTATTGTCACTAGTAAGAGACGTTCACAACTCACCCGATCATGGTATTAATAATTTCTTAGGACATCAGTACTGGAAGAATCGTTATCCTTTAAACTATCCATCTGATTGGGATGGATTCTGGAATTTTTTCAGCGATGGAAGAACTGAATACAATCGTCAAACTTCTGAATCGTCAGGAAACCAATGTGATGGTTGCTCGTGCTCTAACAGCGACGCTAAAGTCACTTGTACTGGATCTCCAGCATCACTGTAAGTGATTTGCCATTAATATGTGATTTGCACTTCTCTTTTTCTTATATGTTATAGCTTGTTTGTTTATGTTGTAGAATACAGTGAATGTGATTTGCAACACTGTCATAAATCAATTTCTTTCTATATATTGATTTATTTACCTTCGTTACAAATCGTTATACAAGCTCATGGTGTTTCATGATCAATATTGACTTTGGTCATATTAAAGTTCAAAAAGGACAGTTTATGTATCTTTTCCTCACTTTATTTTGCCTCTTTCTTTGTTGTTCCACGTTACTCTCCATTCATTGTAGCTGAATCTCAAATTCCATGTCAATCATACTTTTGAACCATTCTTCATTCTGCTTCTTGTCTCATAGTTACAAATCAGGGTCAAAAATCGCTGAGACACTTTTTTTAAATGGGGTACTTTGAAGTAAAAAGTACTTTGAAGTATCCTTTCTGGTGAACCAGAAAGGATATAGAACAACTACCTAATTGTTTTTTATGGCTACGGGTTGAAATGCTAAACGTGTTATATATCCAAGAAGAGCTCAGGCATAATGATATCATGCCAGGACTTCTACCTGGATGAACCAGAAAGGATATAGAACAACTGCCTAAATTTTTTTTTACGGCTACGGGTCGAAATGCTAAACGTGTTATATATCCTAGAAGCGCTCAGGCATAATGATATCATGCCAGGACTTCTACCTGGGTGAACCAGAAAGGATATAGAACAACTACCTAATTGTTTTTTACGGCTACGGGTTGAAATGCTAAACGTGTTATATATCCTAGAAGCGCTCAGGCATAATGATATCATGCCAGGACTTCTACCTGGATGAACCAGAAAGGATATAGAACAACTGCCTAAATTTTTTGTTACGGCTATGGGTCAAAATGCTAAACGTGTTATATATCCTAGAAGCGCTCAGGCATAATGATATCATGCCAGGACTTCTACCTGGGTGAACCAGAAAGGATATAGAACAACTACCTAATTGTTTTTTACGGCTACGGGTTGAAATGCTAAACGTGTTATATATCCAAGAAGAGCTCAGGCATAATGATATCATGCCAGGACTTCTACCTGGATGAACCAGAAAGGATATAGAACAACTGCCTAAATTTTTTTTTACGGCTATGGGTCGAAATGCTAAACGTGTTATATATCCTAGAAGCGCTCAGGCATAATGATATCATGCCAGGACTTCTACCTGGGTGAACCAGAAAGGATATAGAACAACTACCTAACGGTCAGTATAAAACACGGACTGCGGACTGCGGACCACGGACTGCGGACTGGGTATAAAATACGGACTAGGTATAAAGTGTGGACTCCGGACTGAGTATAAAACACGGACTGGGTATAAAACGCGGACTACGGACTATGTAAATAAAAACAGCTTTAGAAAGGTAAAACTGAGAGAAATGGAAAGCGGACTAGCAAAAACAGTAGTCCCAGCTTTAACGTTCCCTTGGCTGTTCTTCCCACGGAGAAGGAAGGTTATGCCGGTACTCAAGACAACTGAAATTTAACTCTGAATTTTATAAAAAGAAGGAGTTAGAAGAGATTTCAATATGCAGTTTTAAACCAATAAGAAGCACCGAATTAAAAAAATAGTATTGGTGTTAGTCAGATAAGTAAAATTCTTATCGAATGCCACAATTCCCTATGAGGACTGAATGAAGAACTCAGACGAGAAGGTCAATGCAGGGCATTCCGCGATGCACAAAAGCGGTATTTAGAGGGGAGGGCAAGGGGGGAGGGATTACTCACACACGTGAATAATAACCGAAATGAGTCATCCAACGTTATATTCCAAACGATGATTATGATGACATGATTTAGACCCTGCTCCTTATCCCCGGAGGGGGGCACTACTGGGAATTCTTGGTGGGAGGTAGTGCCCGGTTCTCCGAATCCTGATCTTATTGCAGACCAAAAAATGTTATTTTCCACACCCATTTTCAGACCAGATCTCTAAAATCCATACCCATTTTCGGACCTGGCCTAATTTAGCCTGTTCCAGGCTCTCAGATAGTTGGGAGACTTCCCAGATTTTCCCATTTTATTTTCGTGTTCGCGCTTTCTCAATTCAGCGGACCCAGCTATCTCGGAGCCTGGAACAGGTTAGGTATAATTAGGCAGAAATTATGTCATCACTACCAAGTTAGAGCGGAAACAAAAAAATTCTCCAAATGCATTTCGAATTCGCACATTTCTATTTCGTTCTTATTCATTTGGAATTGAAACGATAAGTACGTCCATTCACGTATGCTCCCGTAGTTCCCTCGAAACGCCATACCCGATTCCAGACTAAAATGGGCAAAGTGTTTTCAGACCAAAAAGGCCCAAAACCCCTACCCTCCCCTTATATAAGGGAGTACCCCCCGATCCTGACCCCTTTCATGATTGTTGGAGACCGAGACAAGGTCTAAAAATGGGTGAAGAAAATAGCATTTTGATCCGGCTCATGATTCAGAGAACCGGGCAGCACACCTCCACCAAGAATTTATAGGAGTATTTACAACTTTAACTCACGTGTCTTGCTATTTAGCGATCTGTTGATCTTATTTTTCCTTACCTAGAACCAATTAGCACCGTTTCTACCAAAGTAGTCGGTAGTCCGTATTTTATACCTAGTCCGTGTTTTATACCCAGTCCGTATTTTACAGTCCGCGTTTTATACCTAGTCCGTATTTTATACCCAGTCCGCAGTCCGTAGTCCGCAGTCCGCAGTCCGTGTTTTATACTGACCGACTACCTAATTGTTTTTTATGGCTACGGGTTGAAATGCTAAACGTGTCAGTGTTCTCACCAGGCCGCAGCCTTGCGGGATTCCCGCAAGAAAAAACTGAAATGGCGCATTAAAACCAAGAAGATGCGCCCGTTAGGGCGCAGGGGCAAGCTACGAGTCAAACGGACTTAAGTAGTTTTAATGGTCACCCTAACACTAAAGCATTCTGTTTGTCTGAATAAATAAAAAAACATGATATCAAATGAGTCAAAGTCTTTAATTTTGTTGCCTTTACTTTCATTGGTCCCACGCACGTCCCACTACATCGTAAACTCCTCCTCCGAATCGTAAATACCTCTTCCACCATATTGGATCAGGTAGGTACTTCATGTAACAGACAATTTGGAGTGCGGGCTCAGGTTCTTCGTACCGCGTGTTTTTTGTAACTTTGTCCCCCTAATGTTCTTACAGGGCCCCTATTTCTCAGAAGAGGGGGCCCTGGGACTCCCCAAGGCAAAATCCTGGTGAGAACACTGAAACGTGTTATATATCCTAGAAGCGCTCAGGCATCATGATATCATGCCAGGACTTCTACCTGGATGAACCAGAAAGGATATAGAACAACTGCCTAAATTTTTTTTACGGCTACGGGTTGAAATGCTAAACGTGTTATATATCCTAGAAGCGCTCAGGCATAATGATATCATGCCAGGACTTCTACCTGGGTGAACCAGAAAGGATATAGAACAACTACCTAATTGTTTTTTACGGCTACGGGTTGAAATGCTAAACGTGTTATATATCCATGAAGCGCTCAGGCATAATGATATCATGCCAGGACTTCTACCTGGATGAACCAGAAAGGATATAGAACAACTGCCTAAATTTTTTTTTACAGCTACGGGTCGAAATGCTAAACGTGTTATATATCCTAGAAGCGCTCAGGCATAATGATATCATGCCAGGACTTCTACCTGGGTGAACCAGAAACGATATAGAACAACTACCTAATTGTTTTTTATGGCTACGGGTTGAAATGCTAAACGTGTTATATATCCTAGAAGCGCTCAGGCATAATAATATGCCAGGACTTCTACCTGGATGAACCAGAAAGGATATAGAACAACTGCCTTTTTTTTCTACACGTCGAAGTTCTAAACGAGTTATTCTTAGAAGCGCTCAGGCTTAATAATATGCCAGGTTCACAGCAACTGATTTTAGCTGATTTTGCGGTGCGCAAGAATGGATAATTTACCCGACTTGTAAACAGATATTTCCTTCAGCCGATTGTGTCTCATGCAGGAGAATGTCATGTCTGCGTTGTTTTGTTGCTACTGAAGTTTTATCAAAGAAAGCTTAAGCGAAAATAGGGAGATCGCAATTTATACTCTTACGAACTATAAATTAGGGCTGACCTGGAAGACGCGTTGAATTGTGCCGCCATTCTTCAAAATATAACCTGGCTGCGTTTAGGGAGACAATTTCCTCTTCCATCCAGA